CTGCCAGAGACGGGAAATCGTACTACTCTGCCTCACGTTTAGATGTCTGGCAATAAACTGATGACTGGCTTTCTCCAGCTTCCAAGTGTCCAATGGCTCTGTTTCTGCTTTCTTCGTTTAGTCGTGGCATCTTGAGGGTCGCATATACAGAATTTCGGAGAATGAATCGCAACAGGACTGCTGGCTTTTTATACCCATCAGTATCAAGATTCAGATCCCGTATTTGCACGTGCATGCTTTCATATTTTTCTACATGCAGATTATACGGGGATTTTTTCAAGGTGCTGTGTTTTGGCGAATAATCACCAAAGGTTGTGTTTGCGTGTGCTGGATAATTGTATGGGCTATATTCTTACTTAATATTAACATTGACAGTCATTCCATGCCATATTTTTCGAAACAATCTACTTTGAAGATCAGAATTCAGCTATGCGTTTCTTTTTTGGGCCAGTGTATTTTCTTCACCACTATGTGCAACGGCATACTGTACAATACTCACGAGAACCTTTTACAATAAGCCAGCTATACTGCGTCCTATACAGCTTCCTAACTCTGTCGCCTTTGTCGACGTGGGATGGGTTTGGTGGTTCCCTAAACTGTCTTAAGCCACTGCATTGAAAAAGACTGTCTATTTCAATGTCATGATTGTTCTCTGTTGGAGCCTGTATATCCGCCAACTGGCTCCTGTCGCGATCCGCGATAAAATACTAATCATTGACAGCTAGACCTTAAGTGAATTCACGCATTTACTATTAAGTAACTTTCGGAGTAATATTTGGACGTTCTCTCTCATAGCTAGTTATATCTTTTATGTTGTTTTATACTTTAATTCCCATTTATCCGTGAAATAAGTCTATAAACGCCTTAGATTTTGAAATACATGCCTGTTTATGACTGACTTTATGCGACATGAACTTGGACTGCCAACTACAGTAATTGAGTATGTCGGCTTTTCCTTCTTTTCCCATCGATTTCCTTGTGTGAACCATATTCCTTGTGTGAACCACATTCCAGTTTAGATGTTCCTGCTGTGTTTTGAACTACGTTCCTGGTTCCTATTTGTGTGTGCACCTAATGTATTCCTCACCTCTGTAAATGAAACAACCCCCTGAGCTAGATTGATAGACTGCCAGTTTGATTTTGACCTGACTAGCATTGGTTAGTACTGCATATTTTCTTAGTTTTCAATCCATTCTATGTAACTTGTCGTGATGTTAGCGTTTTGAGCACGCACCTTGTGTATGGAAGTTAACGCACTATGTGTACATACTATTATCATTGCTGGTGTCAGCGGTGGATCATCAATAAATGGTAAAGTGTAACTTTCGAGACGTTCATGTGTCATTCTCTTCAGATGGCTTAAAACAGTTTCATTCATTAATGTATTAACCTCTACTGGTCTTCATAGACGTTGTCGCGACACTGCAGTAACCCTCCTGGTCTTCATAGACGTTGTCATAACACTGCAGTAACCCCTCCTGGTCTTCACACACGCTGTCATGACACTGCAGTAACCCCCTGGTCTTCACACACGCTGTCATGACACTGCAGTAACCCTCCTGGTCTCACACACGCTGTCATGACACTGCAGTAACCCCTCCTGGTCTTCACACACGTTGTCATGACACTGCAGTAACCCTCCTGGTCTTCGAACACGTTGTCATGACACTGCAGTAACCCCTCCTGGTCTTCACACACGTTGTCATGACACTGCAGTAACCCTCCTTGTCTTCACACACGTTGTCATGACGCTGCAGTAACCCTCCTGGTCTGACACACGTTGTCATGACACTGCAGTAACCCTCCTGGTCTTGGCAGACGTTGTCATGATACTGCAGTAACCCTCCTGGTCTTGACACACGTTGTCATGACACTGCAGTAACCCCTCCTGGTCTTCACACGTTGTCGCTGACACTGCAGTAACCCTCCTGGTCTTCACACACGTTGTCATGACACTGCAGTAACCCCTCCTGGTCTTCACACACGTTGTCATGACACTGCAGTAACCCCCTGGTCTTCACACACGTTGTCATGACACTGCAGTAACCCCTCCTGGTCTTGATTACACGTTGTCGCTGACACTGCAGTAACCCTCCTGGTCTTGGCAGACGTTGTCATGATACTGCAGTAACCCTCCTGGTCTTGACACACGTTGTCATGACACTGCAGTAACCCTCCTGGTCTTCACACGTTGTCATGACACTGCAGTAACCCCTCCTGGTCTTCACACATGTTGTCGCGACACTGCAGTAACCCTCCTGGTCTTCACACACGTTGTCATGACACTGCAGTAACCCCTCCTGGTCTTCACACACGTTGTCATGACACTGCAGTAACCCTCCTGGTCTTCACACACGTTGTCATGACACTGTAGTAACCCTCCTGGTCTTCACACACGTTGTCATGACACTGCAGTAACCCTCCTGGTCTTCACACACGTTGTCATGACACTGCAGTTACTCCCCTCCTGGTCTTCACACGCTGTCATGACACTGCAGTAACCCCTCCTGGTCTTCACACACGCTGTCATGACACTGCAGTAACCCCTCTTGGTGTTGACAGACGTTGTCATGACACTGCAGTAACCCCTCTTGGTGTTGACATGACACTGCAGTAACCCTCCTGGTCTTGGCACACGCTGTCATGACACTGCAGTAACCCCTCCTGGTTTTGACAGACGTTGTCATGACACTGCAGTAACCCCTCCTGGTCTTCACACACGTTGTAATGACACTGCAGTAACCCTCCTGGTCTTCACACACGTTGTAATGACACTGCAGTAACCCCTCCTGGTCTTCACACACGTTGTAATGACACTGCAGTAACCCTCCTGGTCTTCACACACGTTGTCATGATACTGCAGTAACCCTCCTGGTCTTCACACACGTTGTCATGACACTGCAGTAACCCTCCTGGTCTTGACACATGTTGTCATGACACTGCAATAACACCTCCTGGTCTTGACATACGTTGTCATGACACTGCAGTAACCCTCCTGGTCTTGACAGACGTTGTCATGATACTGCAATACCCCTCCTAGTCTTGACATACGTTGTCATGACACTGCAGTAATCCCTCCTGGTCTTCACACACGTTGTCGCATGACACTGCAATAACACCTCCTGGTCTTGACATACGTTGTCATGACACTGTAGTAACCCTCCTGGTCTTGACAGACGTTGTCATGATACTGCAATAACTCCTCCTAGTCTTGACATACGTTGTCATGACACTGCAGTAATCCCTCCTGGTCTTGACATACGTTGTCATGACACTGCAGTAACCCCTCCTGGTCTTGACAGACGTTGTCATGATACTGCAATAACCCTCCTAGTCTTGACATACGTTGTCATGACACTGCAGTAATCCCTCCTGGTCTTCACACACGTTGTCATGACACTGCAATAACACCTCCTGGTCTTGACATACGTTGTCATGACACTGTAGTAACCCTCCTGGTCTTGACAGACGTTGTCATGATACTGCAATAACCCTCCTAGTCTTGACATACGTTGTCATGACACTGCAGTAATCCCTCCTGGTCTTGACATACGTTGTCATGACACTGCAGTAACCCTCCTGGTCTTGACAGACGTTGTCATGATACTGCAATAACCCCTCCTAGTCTTGACATACGTTGTCATGACACTGCAGTAATCCCTCCTGGTCTTCACACACGTTGTCATGACACTGCAATAACACCTCCTGGTCTTGACATACGTTGTCATGACACTGCAGTAACCCCTCCTGGTCTTCACACACGTTGTCATGACACTGCAATAACCCCTCCTAGTCTTGACATACGTTGTCATGACACTGCAGTAACCCCTCCTGGTCTTGACAGACGTTGTCATGACACTGCAATAACACCTCCTGGTCTTGACATACGTTGTCATGACACTGCAGTAACCCCTCCTGGTCTTGACAGACGTTGTCATGATACTGCAATAACCCTCCTAGTCTTGACATACGTTGTCATGACACTGCAGTAATCCCTCCTGGTCTTGACAGACGTTGTCATGACACTGCAGTAACCCTCCTGGTCTTCACACACGTTGTCATGACACTGTAGTAACCCCTCCTGGTCTTGACAGACGTTGTCATGATACTGCAATAACACCTCCTAGTCTTGGCATACGTTGTCATGACACTGCAGTAACCCCTCCTGGTCTTGACATACGTTGTCATGACACTGCAGTAACCCCTCCTGGTCTTGACATACGTTGTCATGACACTGCAGTAACCCCTCCTGGTCTTGACAGACGTTGTCATGACACTGCAGTAACCCCTCCTGGTCTTGACATACGTTGTCATGACACTGCAGTAACCCCTCCTGGTCTTGACATACGTTGTCATGACACTGCAGTAACCCCTCCTGGTCTTGGCAGACGTTGTCATGACACTGCAATAACACCTCCTGGTCTTGACATACGTTGTCATGACACTGCAGTAACCCCTCCTGGTGTTGACAGACGTCGTCATGATTCCAGACACCCATCATCCCACCTTATTACCTGAGATAGCACCACACTCAGAGCAGTTATGACAATGATAAGGTTCAGGGAATATGTACCCTTTTTGGTTTTGTTTTGGCGAGTCATTTTTGCATGTAGAGCATGTTCTTGTCTTTGAGGACAGGAATGCGATCCACACATGTGGGATGTTGGCGATGAATTTCATTACATTTTGTAAAAAATATGTGTTTTTAAAAAAAACTATATGCATAATCTGTCATACCATCATGAAAACAATCTTCCATGTAAACCATCCAGCCATCACATGAACTCTTAACTGTATATGTGTACCTGTATTTATGCCAAGTATCCTGGCCTGAGCGTAACAAAAAGTCTGTTCTGTTCACGATGGTTGTTATGGATACTGATGTGACAAGTGATGAACATGCCATTCCCATGCTCTAGTCCGCTTTAACAGCACTAGAGAACATATGGTATCAAGACATGACCGGTTGTTGAGTATGTACTGCGAGGAAGGACAATATAGACGGAGGTAGATGTATTATTGGTGATAAGGACAAGAATACTACATTATGTACACAAGTAACGATCCAGATACACCGTTACACCATCACTGCCACCATCACTGTCACCATCACTGCCACCATCCCCCAGTCAGTTCCCCCACACTTTCTCTCTCTCTTGTCTCGACATGTTTCTGTCCCGGAGGACCCTCCTCAGAATCTTGCCGCTGGGGTTCCGGGGGACGTTCTCCACGAACTCAACACCACCACGTAAATGTCTATATGGAGCCACGTGACCTAGAACAGAAAGCAAATAAAAGGCATTTGTGATCCATTGCCGCATTTCACGTACAAATAATAACACGCAAACATTATTACATGTATTATGTCCAAGATGAGGCCATTTAGGCTTCAGATATATACAGTGTATATCTCACCTGCACAAGATGAAGCCATTGAGGCACTGAATACATGTATAACTCACCTGCACAAGATGAAGCCATTTAGGCACTGAATACATATATAACTCACCTGCACAAGATGAAGCCATTTAGGCACTGAATACATATATAACTCACCTGCACAAGATGAAGCCATTTAGGCACTGAATACATATATAACTCACCTGCACAAGATGCCAAGGCCGAATACATATATAACTCACCTGCACAAGATGAAGCCATTTAGGCACTGAATACATATATAACTCACCTGCACAAGATGAAGCCATTTGGGCACTGAATACATGTATAAATCACCCGCATAAGATGAGGCCATTTGGGCACCGAATGCATATATAACTCACCTGCACAAGATGAAGCCATTTAGGCACTGAATACATGTATAACTCACCTGCCCAAGATGAAGCCATTTAGGCACTGAATACATGTATAACTCACCTGCCCAAGATGAAGCCATTTGGGCACCGAATGTATATATAACTCACTTGCAACTAGATCAATGAGGTCCTTTTCAGTGACGCTGGGTTTGGCAACAACGAACGCCCGCGGCACTTCCCCAACCCCTTTTGTTGGTATTCCAACTACTGCGGCGTCTTCAACATCCGGGTGGTTTAAAATGATGTTCTCAAGATGACATGGAGAAATCTGTAACACGGTTTACTCTCCATAGTATTTTGTTTTTTTATAAAGAAGACTGACAAATCAATTTCCAATAATCTTTGAAACATCCCCATAAAGTATTTTACATTAACTATCCAACATCTCAAAACATTAACTTCTCTCCATCTCAAACGCTGTCAACAAACCCTATTTCCCCTGCATATCGAACCCCAAGAACCCAGCATTACCTACCTGATAGCCTTTGAACTTAATGATATCCTTCAATCGGTCAATGATGTAATAGCAGCCGTCGTCGTCATAGAAACCAAGGTCACCTGTTAAAGAAAACCAAATATGTCCAGAGGTAGTCACTATATGTGGAAGCAAAGATGGCCGACAAGAATTGTTTTGTAAATTTTGAAAAAATCTGGGTTACCAGTGTAGTCCTAGCCTCCAAAACATATATTATGAATCGATATTATGGGTTTGCCACAGTTAGTGACTAGAAATGGATAGCAGTCTTGTCTGTGTAAAGTTCTTCTATGTAGCAATACAGGGGACAAAGGGTCGACAATTAGAGTGCATGAATGAGTATAATTTACGCTGCTTTTAGCAATATTCCAGCAATATCACGGCGGGGGAAAAGGGCTTCACATATTGTACCCATGTGGGAATCGAACACAGGCCTTCGGTGTGACGAGCGAACCCTTTAACCACTAGGCTACGCCACCGCCCTCGACAATTAGAAACACTTCCCCTGTTCGCTACAGGATTTACTCATATCCAATCAGATGCAAATCATACAATTTCAAAAACTATTTCCTTCCAATGCCCGAACAAGATTTTTAATCGAAAGTAAACTTTGAACCTGGAGAGGTTTCCAGGAGGCAGCAATTTTGATTAAAAACCCGACATGGGTTTTCACTTGATGTTTGATCACGCACCTGTTCGGAGCCAGGCATCTGACGTGAAGGCCGCTTGGGTGGATGTTCTGTTATTGAGATACCCCATCATTACCTGCGGACCCTTCACACACACCTCCCCCTCTTCCCCCGGGCCGAGATCAGCCCCAGTCACAGGGTCAACAATCTGAAAAACGACATTACTTCATCAATATGGTCACATACCTAGAACAAGTGTTACCATACAATAAAAGGTTTACTGAAAGTCGCCTGGTCAAATACGATTTTATAATTATCCGAGCACCAGGGCGAATCTGGACCACGTTTTGACACGTGAATTTCTATAAGAATTTTATGATCGTGGGTTGGATTCCCTAATTTCCCCTATTTCGCCCTATTTCCGTCTCCAGGTTGTACTAACACCTATCCTGGGCCTCCTTCTACGTGGTCGCTATCTGTATAACGTAAGGTTTACAATAGTCTTCGTGCTGAGATAGCTTCGCGAATCGAGACTCTGTTCGTTTCAACTCTACCTTTCTTCACACACACATACTTATACAGCTGAAACACAGCTGAAGGTAACAAAACTCAATCACTGGCCTCACCAGTAGCCTTACCTTGCTGCGGGTAAGGGGCAGTGGTACCCCAACTGACCCATGCTTGGAGAAGCCCCGAGGAGATACATGGGTCGCTGGACTTGCCTCTGTCATTCCGTAGCCTGCATTATAGACAGCCAAACTCTATCTGTTACATTTACAGCAGAGAACACATGCTGTTCACATCTAACATGTGCAAAAGGTAAAACAGAAAAATGTGTGATTGGCAAATCTACCTGAACCAACTTATATCTAGTTTTAGGTATTCTTGTATACATATATACGGGTATAAAATACCCTTTGGTTTGTTACCCTACATACCCTGTGTGAAGGTGTCACAGTGCACCCTAGATACCCTGTCTGCAGGTGTGACAGTGCATCCTACATACCCTGTCTGGAGGTGTAACAGTACACCCTACATACCCTGTCTGCAGGTGAGACAGGGCATCCTACATACCCTGTCTGAAGGTGTGACAGTACACCCTACATACCCTGTCTGCAGGTGTGACAGGGCATCCTACATACCATGTCTGAAGGTGTGACAGTACACCCTACATACCCTGTCTGCAGGTGTGACAGTGCACCCTACATACCCTGTTTGAAGGTGTGACGGTACACCCTATATACCCTGTCTGAAGGTGTGACAGTGCACCCTACATACCCTGTCTGAAGGTGTGACAGTACACCCTACATACCCTGTCTGCAGGTGTGACAGTGCACCCTACATACCCTGCCTGAAGGTGTGACAGTGCACCCTACATACCCTGTCTGAAGGTGTGACAGTGCACCCTACATACCCTGTGAATTGAAGGCACCCTACATATCCTGTTTGAGGTATGACAGTACACCTTACATACCCTGTTTGAAGGTATGACAGTACACCCTACATACCCTGTCTGAAGGTGTGACAGTACACCCTACATACCCTGTCTGAAGGTGTGACAGTACACCCTACATACCCTGTTTGAAGGTATGACAGTGCATCCTACATACCCTGTTTGAAGGTATGACAGTACACCTTACATACCCTGTCTGAAGGTGTGGCAGTACACCCTACATACCCTGTCTGCAGGTGTGACAGTGCACCCTACATACCCTGTCTGAAGGTGTGGCAGTACACCCTACATACCCTGTCTGCAGGTGTGTCAGTACACCCTACATACCCTGTCTGCAGGTGTGACAGTACATCCTACATACCCTGTCTGAAGGTGTGACAGTAGGTGTGACCCTACATACCCTGTCTGCAGGTGTGACAGTACACCCTACATACCCTGTCCCGTCTGCAGGTGTGACAGTACAGCCTACATACCCTGTCTGCAGGTGTGACAGTACACCCCTACATAGGTGTGACAGTACCCTGTCTGCAGGTGTGTCTGCAGGTACAACCTACATCCTACATACCCTGTCAGCAGGTGTCAGTACACCCTACATACCCTGTTTGAAGGTATGACAGTACACCTTTCATACCCTACCTGAAGGTGTGACAGTACACCCTACATACCCTGTTTGAAGGTATGACAGTACACCTTTCATACCCTACCTGAAGGTGTGACATCGCACCCTATATACCTGCTTGAAGGTGTGGCAGTACACCCTACATACCCTGTGTGAAGGTGTGACAGTGCACCCTACATACCCTGTGTGAAGGTGTTACAGTGCACCCCACATAGCTGTCTGAAGGTGTGACAGTGCACGTTACATACCCTGTTGGAGTCCATTAATTTTGAGCCTCTCTATGAATGCTGTCGTGAGTTCTTTGCTGAGAGCCGCTGCGCCCGACAGTATTGAGGTAAAACTGCTGACGTCGAATTTGTCCACCATTGGGTGCTTGGCCAGGAAACTGATGACCGATGGCGCGACTTGGCTAAACGTTACCTGAGATTGGCAGAACAAACAGGATTACTTGCACATATGCTCTTCTGGGTACCTCATAAGACACTCGTTCATTGAGAAAGCTCATTAGTTTCAGTAGTTAGAGAAGACGCCTATGGAATCCTACAAGGGACATTGCCGATATTTCAAAAACAGGCAATAAATGACAAAATTAACCGCGACAATGCGACATTTTGGCCGTTTATCGCGCTTTCAATCATAGTTTTTATTTCACCAAAGGGCAAGTCTTTTCAAATGTCATAATATGTCGCATTGTCGCCTCGTCTAAAATGGGTGAAAAGGAGATTAAAATGTGCGTCAATGCGACCATTCTAGGATTCCCATAAAGAAGGTAACATGAAAGTCAGCTGAATGTAACAAGGGCTCTACGCAGGGTACGGAAGCCCTGCCCAGGGAGTGAGGACATACCCGGTAGTGGTGCACCGCTTGCAGAAAGTCCCGGGGGTTGTATCTGGGCAGCATGATGGTCGGTGCTCCTTGAGACAGAGGCAAACACATCCCGATCACTATCCCTGCTATATGCATTGTGGGTAGCGCACACAGCGTCACATCCTCCTCACTCGACATACGAAGGAACAATGGATGCCTGCAAATGAGCATATAATTCTTGAAGTTGAATTCAGAGTGCAGGTGTATGTAATCTTTCTATTGGAAATGGTCTACTCTGGTCTGAAGAGATGTTTTCAGCAACATAAAAGAGGCCCAGTGCGATGTTTCTTAGTATAAATCGTACAACCCACGTCTGATCTACCCTGATGTTCATGCGCTTTTATGCGTCACTTTAGGGAGGCGTGGCCAATATTGTAACTGCATTTTTGTATCTGTTCATATTCAGGCGAAGTTCATGATAGTTATCAGTTGTCAGGGATCTATTACTATCTAATGTAAGCAGTGGTTTTGATGTTACTATATTTGATGCTTTTGGAGTCAAGTGTAGCCTGGAATCATCGAGAACAGCTGTATGCTATTACCAGAGTCTAGAATTTTCTGGAAGGTGTGAGTGATTGAGTTTAGTTTTACGCCACGTTCAAAATATTCCAGCAATACCACGACGGGGGACACCAGAAATGGGCTTCACAATGTGGGGAATCGAACCCGGGTCTTCGGTGGGACGAGCGAACGCTTTAACCATTAATAAACCCCACCGCCCCTTTTTGGAAGGTATTACGATTAAATAAGTGGGCGAGCGCATGGCTCTCTGATCTTACAATACATCAAAACCGGTGGTTGTATGAAGATTTCCAGGCCCTGTTTATCCAGCCATGGGCTATTCTATAAGCTTGAGCAGTTTTACTGTTAGGTGAATATTATTATCGTTGTCGCAAGTGCTGTTGTACTTGATATTGTCATTGTATTATGGTACTTTCATTGAATTATATACTGTGAGTCTATTGAGTAATTTCATAACTTCTTTGAGTGGCATTTATAAGCTGAAAAGTACAATATTGAACAAACTTTATGACTAATTAATGAAACTTCAATTGCTAATTCCAGGAATTGAAACCAACAAGAAACCTCTAACCTTAGTTTCTTGTTGGTTTCCATTTACAGAAATGCAAAAATCAAAGAGTCCAAAATGGAATCTAGTTGGAAACTCAGTTACTCAGTTTCAGTGAATGGAAACCAAATTACCCACTATACGGATTGTTTCCAGGTTTCAGGAAACCAAGTCATTTTTGTAGTGTAACAACTTGTTGTATTTCGTGAGTGCGACGTTTCGATATAGATTCTTGTAGGATCCGTGCTTGACACCTCAGTCCTGCTTGTCAACGGTACAAGAACCTGTAACGTCGCACTCTCGAAATAAAACAAGTTGTTATCCATAAAGTTTGTTCAATAGAGTAATTTCATTATAATTAGTATGTAGTAATTTGAATCGATTGTGAACATAATAGATTTTAAAATGCACCTTTGCTGTCCATTGATTTCAAACAGTATTCTTGTGGTATAGATGTTTGGGTCAGGTTTGAAATCGACATGTAACACAACATAAACGTAATTTGATGTGTGTAAGTGATACAAATAGTATCACCTCATACTGCATATGTCAACTACATTGTTTTTGCGACAGCATTACCTGAGTTGACAGAGATCTGATATGATGTTGTAGTGGCTGAGCATGACGCCCTTCGGGAGGCCTGTCGTTCCACTGGAGAAGGGTATGAGGGCCGTGGTGGAGTCCGGCTTGATGTGGATGCGAGGGTGTGATGGCAGGTGTTTGTTCTGCAGTAGGTCTGACAGAGGTCTACATCCGGGCGCCTGGCCTATACATATCACCTCCTGGGTAAATCAGAGAACACGAGGTCAGTACAGAGGTCTACATCCGGGCTCTGTTCCGATCACCCCCGTTGGTTGTCGGAATCCGAGTTGACCAGTTCAGTATACAAAAAGGTGAAGGATCTGCTACCATTTAGCCCAAGAGAGGATAAATCTGTGGCACGTAGACTCCACTCCCTGAATGCCGTGACACAGATAATCGTGTATCTCAGAATCACCCGAGGATGTTTCTAAGTCAGCTGGATGCTTATGGTCTTCAAAGACATAGATGAGGCTAGACTGATATGCATACCCAGTAATACAGCTACCGTATGAACGTGTAGATATACAAATATAGATGTATACAAATCCAAACAGTTTTGGGGCTGAGGCGACCTTAACTTGCCCAACCACTCTAGACTTGAGATGTACTCCTTTAACCTAGGTTCTAGGGTCTGAGAGACTGAAAATAGGTCACTCGCTCACTCACATACCAAATGTTGGGAAATAGTATGGTGTTCGCCATTAGTGGGACAGAACAAGGACTGGTGGGCTACATAGGTGCAATGAATCCATGGTGCAACAACCACCATATAGATTCCTCAGATCGTGGATTAGCATCCGGAATACATCCGTAATCACGGCCGGGTTCACCCGTTTTTCACGAGAGTTTCAATGGTCATTTAAAAAACTTTCAGGACAAAAGGGGGCTGGTGCGCACCCCTGCACACACACGCACGCACGCACACACACACACACACACACACACACACACACACACACACACGCGCGCGCGCACACACTCTGGATCCGCCTATGCGTTATGATGCTTGGTTCGTCATACCGCTACTCTTAGTACCCTTTCTTTCACCGACGTGATAAACGTGCACGACTTCAAGCACCTGGGGTTTTCCTCTTACGTGAACAAAACACTGATCAAGGAGCGTCAAACCAACTCACTCACTCACTTACTCACCTGTGTATACGGTGATAAGGCGGACGCTGCCAGTGCCGTGTCGGCGCAGTCGGGGGTTGTGATGAGGAGTCTGGATCGTGTCTGTCGCAGCTGGGACGCCAAGTCATCTTGAAGGGAAACAAGCTTACAAAGTATAATTTGAGACAAGAAGCTTGGTGTATTAAGGAGACCAGAAGACTGTCAACTAATTATAATTATTGTTCACTTAGGAAAAGTCCAGTCCACCGAACTTGACAAAGTCAATCGCAGCTATAAGGGGAGGAAGTGCCCACATAAAACGGAAACATGGGCAATGGATAAACTGAAGAACATATACTTAGGATTAACTGTATGATTTGTGCAGACACCAGGTGTTCGCGATGCTACCTTAATATCCTACAGTAATGGATATCATTACACCTTCAAGAGTTCAAAAACATTTGCTACAAATAAGGGTCAAATACCGGCAGTAAGCTGAGAGTTAGCTAAAGACAGCGCTGCGCCATTGTCGGTGACGCTGCAAAACACGTGGGCAATTTCAGGGACGTTGGTGGCATACATGGTGACGATATCTCGGTGACGTAGACCCAGATGGTAGAACGCTGATGTCAGTGTATGTATGTCGTCCTGGAGACGCTCGAAGCTTATCCTCCTGTCTGTCTTGCCATCTATCTGTGGAATACGACGCGCTTGTCTTATAATAATAGTCGTAGGGAAAACATTATGTGTTCAGTGAGTTCATGCACGCAGCGAAGTTCATCAAAGAATGCTTTTTTTCAAACATATATAGTTCTAAGATGTACCATTGTGCAGGCCATGGGGCACTTTCTGTGGGGCAGAACCTGAATCAATGCTTCATGACTTCTGGAATTGTAGAACAAGCAAGAACCTTTGGCAAATATTCTCACATTGGCTGAAGCTGAACTGTGTACACACAGGTTCTTTATATCTTCACCGTGATTTGATTCTTTTTGGGTGTTCCCCTACATTTCACACCGACGATACTTTTGACTTGATACTGCTACTAGCCGGATATTATGTTCATAAATGTAAGCTGACAGAGAAAGATCATTCCTATGTTGTCACTCTTCAAGAAGGAATTAAAGTATCATTATCTTGTAGAAAAAGCCGGATGTTTCATGAATTCGAAAGCAAATGGACAATGTATGTAAAACTTGTAAGTGAGTAGTTCAATGTTATGGTAGAGAATGCATGGGTATGAATGAGAAAGCGACTGATATGTCTTTGCTTAAATATTTTTTTTTAATTTTCTATTACTAGTATTTCTTTTCCTCAGGTTTTATTTTTTGGGCCATGGGCGTTTACTACTCTCATGAAACCAACATGCACAGGTAAGGGTGCCGGCCCACCCATGGTTATATACTCGGATTTATGTACAGCTTAATGTAGGATGAAAGCCCGGAGTAATGCAGGCCGTACATATTTATCACCTTAAGAAACCCCATGATTAGCGGATCCTGACCCACGGTTTGTGATCCAGGGGATGTCAACTGTGTCACAGAAAGGGTTACAAATGTGGGTAACGTAAAGTGGATCGACACTTTTAACAATATCCCAGCAATACTTCAGCGTAGAGACACCCGATATAGGCTTCACACATTGTGCCAAAGCGGAGAATCGAACCCGACCCATCTTTACCTAATCCATACACGATGCTGTTTGTAATCTATGGTTCGTGTGTGATTGCAGCCTTACCAAAGCCGTGTTGCTGGCATGCTTGCTGGCATCCTGGAGCAGGTACTGCGATATGGACATGTCTTTGGGAACCACCACACTGGTCTGGTTCATCTGGTCCTCGATACGACTAACGGACGAGTAGAGTGAGACGCTATGCTTTAAGGGACTACTTGACCAACAAACCGGCGTCACGAGCTTGCGAAGAGGAAATCTTTTGCTCCAAACAATCCGCGTGACGTGAGCAGACGGCATGGTCTGGATCTAGTCTGAAAAACAGGCACACCTGATGAGTATGATCACAAGAAAATGTCAACAGTGATAATGAACGAGTTGAACAGATTAAACGTAGTTCTGATACACCTCAGCTTAACATACTAGGACGGCGGACGTAGACTAACGCCTCGCCTCTGAAACTATATCAGCTTCATTTAAATTAAAAAGGTTTCAAATAGTTGGGAATACAGAACCTGAGTAAAATCTTGACTTGCTTCATTTAGATCTATTGCATTGTAGAAAGGGCAAGGGGGACGGGAAAATAACATGAATCAGGGAATGTGAGGCCGACTAATGTAAGATGCAGACATTTACATCTCAAACTGGCTATCACGGATGTGAGGCAGATTATCACCGTCGTAATCGTGGTGAATCTAGGATTCAAACCCGCGATCAGCGAATCATCCCAGACTTACAGGACACGTGGTGGTGAGGTAGCTTAGAAGTCAAAGCGTTCCCTCGACAACCCGAAGGCCCGGAAAGACCATTTCTGGTGTTCCCCGCCGTGATATTGCTGGAAAATCGGGAATCTGTATATGGTATATACATTTCCACAGACATATCCTACATATTGGCACTTTCATGATGGCTGGTACTGTGAATTGAAAAACAAGTTGTTTCTGAGTATTGTACGGGTGGTTATACGGACAGTGCTGTTTAGATACCATTACAAAGTACGTTAAAACTGTATGGTGCGGGACAACGTAGTTTTAGGTGTTTTCTATAGACATTATCTATTCGTACCTAAACAATAACTTACAACACCAGTGCAGGGCTCTATCCAAGCGAGATAGATCCTGGCTGTGCAGTTGCACAAATAACAGGGACAAAACAAAACAAATAGTTGGGCTAGCAAAAACTTGGCTATCTTGCAATACAAATAGTTGGACTTCCTTTTTGAATAACTGGGCTATCTGACACTTACATAGATGGACTACCTGAGTATACGACATTGATAAATATTGACTATACCCACAGTGCTAATAGCTGTGCTATCCAAACTTGTTAACAAGGCCGTACCCGACCATGTATATCAAACATAGTTTGACAGAGTTTGTGATAAGGGATTATTGCATAAATTAGGAGCAGATTTCGATGTTGATCAAACTTTTCTTTCATCATGTCTACCTAAGCCAGGGAAAACAGAATAGTTTAAATGATGGATGTACGTCTAAGTGAAGACTTTAAAAAATAAATATTCCATGATTAAACTGGTTTTACACCTTTAAGTAATCATCGGCAATATCACAAAATGCATCTTTTCAACAAAAGGTTTACTGAGAAAATGCCATCATGTCTATTAGCCCTAATTCCACTAAATCTACCTGTTCCAAATATCATGATATAACAGCATCCAACATACTCCTCTTTGTCGCACTAAAAACACTTCTTTTGCCTAATGCTATGTTGGACTGAAATACGTTGGATAATCAATTTCAGTTTTCACAGAATTTATATTATCACAAACTGTATCTTAATGTAATTATGCACAAATTGTCTAAACTATCTATTCGGTAACACATTTAGAATCGAATTATTCACTGTACATTTAGACTGGGCTGTGACGATTGGAACACGCACTGGTGTTACAGATTGACCACTGGTGATCCCACTGGCTGTATTGCCTATCATGACGAAGACAGTCACCATTATACATTCCAGAGTTTGAGTTGTTGGCATATTTGATCGACATGTTTTTCGTCAAGCGAATTATAATCAAACTGACCTGAAACAACTAATCTACAAAATGCTATAAATATTAAAACGATTGAACCTGTACATGACTACCCTATCAGATTTTGCTAAGCTAATGTAACATGCTGTACTTACTATAATGTAAGCTAAACCACACCGTTACTAGCCAAATACCACAGTACAGTGCTAAACGCTGCATAAACTTAGCTTTGGGGGAAATTTATGACAAGAAACTGCCTTCGAAGAGCATCTGGTCTGTTTGAAGAGTTACGCCATGGTCATATTACTGGTTGTCGAATTATACTAATTATTTTATCATTTCAGGCATATTAATACTGTTTATCATATAGGTATAAAACCTCAACGACCGGTACGTCATAGAGGGCAGCACCATTGCAAGTGATCTTGTCAGTATCCTTCACGGTCTTTTAGAAGTGTAATATAGAATTGTTTACCTACCTCACTGACAAGCCCTTGTTACACTTCAGTGTTAGCATATGCTTCAACACACGAGAAATATGTCCATGCAGTACTGCCATCAAATAGGGAATAGCAGCCGCTGACTTATATACCACACATCCACCAACAATACTGGTGTATACAACAATTAACGCCTATGGAGCAATGCTTACATGTGTCGCTATACTGACCTATACAGGTATCTAGGACAATGAGTCTGACACACTTCGGACACGGTGTGTGTTCAGTTGGCCCTGTGAATGATAAGGTTCGAGATTAACGTCATTCCGATAACACACCCGGAGCTGTGGCATTTTACTCTGTACGTTATAAAGACGTACGCTAAATACGTAGAAGTGCGATATATGGTTTAAACATTTTATTTCGAAGAAATCTGGATTGGTAACAAAGCAAAGCCTGCTTATTAAAATGCTTCTCCGGGTAAAAAGTTAACACAGCTGGTTAGTACATGTATACGTTTTACAAGATAGTGCTAAACATAATATATAGTTGCACAAACGGAGTACATGTGTATATAAAGTCAGTATTTTGGAGTCCGTGGTGTCTGAGGAAAAGTGCGATAATGCAGTTATCATTTCTATATAAATTTAAAATTGCTCAAATCTTTTGCTTTTAGCGATAAAGTCGTGAACTGGTTGAAGCATTTCCATGTTTGTGGAACAGCTGCTGACTGAACGATGGCCATGAGTATTGATGTCAGGTCATACCCATGTATGTAAAAGTCCATAGTCTTTCTCATATTATCGTATTTGTGGCATGTAAAGAAAAGTCGCTGCAGCCGAGACTCCGGCTACAGTGGACAATTTGGCAGAATCTAGAAGCACAATTTAAGTCCAGGTTATTCGTAATTCTATCAAAACAATTGATTAATGATTTAGATTTTAAAGAGCATGCATTAGTTACTTCATCAGGTAGATTATTCCACAAGTTGATCGAGTCCGGAATAGTGCCATATATTATCTCACAGTTGCAGCAGTCCAGCAGGAATATAGTATGTTAGTAGTTTGGGCGTGTGACTACTGGAAGCACTGGAAGTATCTATAGTGTAGTAAAGAGTTATTTATAGGCCGCTTCTTTCACTCTGTGGTAAGGTGTGACTTTAGTTTTACGCCGCACTCAGCAATATTTCAGCTATATGGCGGTATTGTAAGGACATTGTTCATATCATTTTTACATAAATCGTTTTAGGTATATCTCAGAATCTAGTCTTCTGTCTAACAAATTATATATGAAATACCAAGAAATGACGTTTTGGATTTCACAAGTTCACATCATTTCGGTGATACCGTAAATTCGGATTTGTGATGTCATAAATCAGCAGAGGCACGCACTTATATGCACGCACATGACTTGTCTTTAACGCAAGCGGTTTGCGTATCATATGTAACCACGCCCACTCTCTTCAATATGGCAGTGGTTAAACCTGGGGCGTCTCTAGGCTGACCTTACATCTCTCGCATGCAAGCTCAAAGTACAGCTAATGTAGTGTTCGCATTTGGTCTCTGTCTAAGCCTCGAGTCGATTGAATTACATCACTGAAAACAGACTCACGGAAAACCTGTGTTGGATCCCGGCACGAGAAGTGTAACTTCAGCAAACCATGGAGAATCTTCATTGAAATAAGCACCTCAACAACTTTAGCAACTTTTCTCTGATAACCGTATTTATAAAGCGCTATGCTTAACTGTGAGAAAAATCTGCGATGTGCCCCCTTCGTGATGCACGTGGGATATGTCTCTGAGGCGTTCGCACGTGCAGTTTCTTGTTTTGTGATTTTGGTTTGAGATACTTGTATTCATTCTCTTCCCACAGAGGTTACTCCTGTCATATCTTCCTACGTAGGAAGATATGATAGGAGTAACCTCTGTGGGAAGAGAATGACTTATATTAGGACATGTACAATATTCATGAATTGAGCATATGCAGCTTGTGCATGGACGAAGAAACAAACTGTTTATCAAGATACTGATCAGGGAACGCTTAAACCCCTCATCACACATACCCGTCCCCACCCGTACCACATGCCACGTACTGGCACGCGCACAATCACTCACTCACATATACCACCCTATCTCATCTCCCTTTTCTCAACAGTTTGCACGTCTATATACTACTGGAATAAAGTAACTGTGAATTATTAAATGCAAAAAAGATAATAACATGATCTGTGGTGTTTTCTTAATCACTGTTTAACTACTGACAGGATAATATCGAAATCGGTATGATTTGACACGAGGCATCGTGACACGCCCTTGAAGAGATGTGGTGTCAAAAGTCAGTTCACAAATTCAGTATCGTCGTGTGTGCCCACCATGTGGGGGATGTCGGCTTGACAACGACGACGCATAGACGACACTTCTGTCCGTTTGAGACAAAATGATACCCATGAATTGCAATCTAACACAAAAACAAATAGGCATAAAAGAATAAAACCCACGCGGAGTGCAATAAAAACAACAGACAAACTGCATAATTATTGTCACAAACATAAGAAAACTTGTTTCAGAAACTGTCATAATTTATTTGTCCGTTTTCCAAGTTTGTTACAAGGGCGCATTGGCAACTAAAGGAACAGCGCGAAAAGCGAGATGCACGTGCGTTAGTGACGTCAGAGACATGTGATTAGTGCTGATTGACAAAGTGAGAGAAAATGAAAGTCTATAATTTACAAAGTCGATGATTTCTTCAAGGCTGAAAATGACAGGGGGTGACCCAAGTATGCAATTACTAAGTACATACAGCGCATTGCCTGTGCAGTTGGGGTAAATGTCATCGCCAGCTCAAAAATTTGTTGAGAACCGGTTAACGCACGTGCATCTCGCTTTTCGCGCTGTACCTTTAGTTGCCAATGCGTCCTTGTAACAAACTGGGAAAACGCACAAATCAATATTGACAGTTTCTTAAACAAGGTTTTTATTTTTGTGACAAAAATTATGCATGTTTTTTCTAGAATTGGTCTGTTGTTTGTATTGCATTCCGCGTTGGTTTGATTCTTTTATGTCTATTTGTTTTTGTGTTAGATTGCAATTCATCGGTATCATTTTGTCTCAAACGGACTGTTAGCAATTGACTGAAGAAATCTTTGGGAATGTTGTTCCATGTCTGAACCACCCCTTGTCCCAATCCAGCTAACGTCAATGGCTGATTCTGCGCTGACGTAAACGTCTCTCCATTTCGTCCCAAGCTGCACATGAGGCCCAATGATCTCATCCTTGTATCGCAGAGCTGTCAAGTTGTCATTGACAATAACAAGCTGTGTCAGACCATGAGATGACGTCCATAACGCTCCCACCACCAACCTGTCGACGTTGTACAACGCTAGGGTTAGCATACCGTTCACCTCGCCGTCTGTACACCCTTTTCCTGCCATCAGAGCTGTCCAGATGAAATCTTCAGTGAACAAACCACCATCCAAATCTTGTCTCCTGTACCGTAGATGCTATCTGCACCAGACAGAGCGTGTCTGTCGGTGACGTTGGAGCAAAGCTGGAAATTGCACGCCGTCGGGGTCGGATGTTGTGCTTCCACAGTCCTGGACCTGATTGGACGTATGCCAGGAATGGTCAGAGCAGTCAAACTGGCAGCCTGGAATCGATTCTTTAGATGGGTCAGCCGAATGTGGTTGTCTTGCTGGTCACGCGTGGACCGCGGGTCCGAGGCAAATCTCTCGTGTTCCCGTTGTGTTGAAAACGTCTCCATAGGAATGAGATCGTTGTTTCGATGGACACCAAAATGTCTGGCCACTTCATTTTTGGCCATTCCAGTCTCCAGCATACCCTCGCCGCGCAGACGCTGATTTTCTGTAAGCCGTGGCATGACGTACGCGCAGGGTTTTATTAATTAATGTGTTTTCCATAACATTCAGAGGCGAGAGAATAATCTACCGTTCTTCAATTTCCAATATCAGGTGTGTGAACTTCAGGTGTCAAAAAACATGCAAAAAGTGAGTAAGTTCATTGTGCACAATGTGCACGTGCCACGCGCGATACGTGACATCAAATTTCACGCAAAGTGCTTTGCCACATGTTTATTTGTGGTTATTTTTATAACTTTTCAAATAACTTTTATTTTATGCAATTTAATGTTTTGCACAGTCACTTTTTTCCGTTAGTGTATGTGGACCATTGTAACAAGAAAACAATATATCTCTTGACCAACAGTCACCAGTAGAAGTGTTTTCTCTATGAAATATGAAGGAATAGTGTTTAATGACACAGTGAGTAATGTCACGGAGGTATGTGAATAATACACAAAGAATCTGTACTTTGTGGAGAAAGAGTAATCCCAAATACAACACACGTGACATGTCATTGTATCGATTATCAATCTTGCATTTAGCTGAAAGGACAGAATACACATTACGCGCTGCTTCAACGTAAACAGAGCACCACAATACATCAAGGCAGGCCCATTGAAACTCAATTCTCGGAATCTATATGGACCATTTGTTTCTCTTTATATTTGTTAAGCCCAATGCGGAAACCTACACTAAAGGTTAATCAACCTGTATGAGAAGTGAACCATTAATAACTGTTCTCAATAGGAAAATATCACCATTGTCAGCAGTAACATGCGTAATCAGATTAGATGCGCATAACTCCGGGTGTGTTGAGAAGAGTACACAGCTGTTCTAAGTGGGCGTCGCATAACAATTGTCCTGCTATTGACGAGTGTATTTATTTATCTTCGCCCGATGGGATACTTAGAAAACAATAAACAAAACAATAACAAATATATAGGAATTAATAACAATAAGATACTATCTGACTGACTGAAATGTAAAGTATTTCACCTGTCCTGAATATAGACGTTAAGATTTTATCTCACTGACTGAAATGTAAAGTATTTCACCTGCCCTGAATATAGACGTTAAGATATTACCTCACTGACTGAAATGTAAAGTATTTCACCAGCCCTGAATATAGACGTTAATATATAATCTGACTGACTGAAATGTAAAGTATTTCACCTGCCCTGAATGTAGACGTTAATATATTATCTGACTGACTGAAATGTAAAGTATTTCACCTGCCCTGAATATAGGCGTTAATATATTATCTGACTGACTGAAATGTAAAGTATTTCACCTGCCCTGAATATAGACGTTAAGATATTATCTGACTGACTGAAATGTAAAGAATTTCACCTGTCCTGAATATAGACGTTAAGATATTATCTCACTGACTGAAATGTAAAGTATTTCACCTGTTCTGAATATAGACGTTAAGATATTATCTCACTGATTGAAATGTAAAGTATTTCACCTGCCCTGAATATAGGCGTTAAGATATTATCTCACTGACTGAAATGTAAAGTATTTCACCTGCCCTGAATATAGACGTTAAGATATTATCTGACTGACTGAAATGTAAAGAATTTCACCTGTCCTGAATATAGACGTTAAGATATTATCTCACTGACTGAAATGTAAAGTATTTCACCTGTTCTGAATATAGACGTTAAGATATTATCTCACTGATTGAAATGTAAAGTATTTCACCTGCCCTGAATATAGGCGTTAAGATATTATCTCACTGACTGAAATGTAAAGTATTTCACCTGCCCTGAATATAGGCGTTAAGATATTATCTCACTGACTGAAATGTAAAGTATTTCACCTGCCATGAATATAGACGTTAAGATATTATCTCACTGACTGAAATGTAAAGTATTTCACCTGTTCTGAATATAGACGTTAAGATATTATCTCACTGACTGAAATGTAAAGTATTTCACCTGCCCTGAATATAGGCGTTAAGATATTATCTCACTGACTGAAATGTAAAGTATTTCACCTGCCCTGAATATAGGCGTTAAGATATTATCTCACTGACTGAAATGTAAAGTATTTCACCTGCCCTGAATATAGACGTTAAGATATCATCTCACTGACTGAAATGTAAAGTATTTCACCTGCCATGAATATAGTCGTTAAGATATTACCTGACTGACTGAAATGTAAAGTATTTCACCTGTCCTGAATATAGGCGTTAAGATATTATCTCACTGACTGAAATGTAAAGTATTTCACCTGCCATGAATATAGACGTTAAGATATTACCTGACTGACTGAAATGTAAAGTATTTCACCTGTCCTGAACATAGATGTTAAGATAGTATCTGACTGACTGAAATGTAAAGTATTTCACCTGCCCTGAATATAGACGTTAAGATATTATCTGACTGACTGAAATGTAAAGTATTTCACCTGCCCTGAATATAGACGTTAAGATATTATCTGACTGACTGAAATGTAAAGTATTTCACCTGTCCTGAATATAGGCGTTAAGATATTATCTGACTGACTGAAATGTAAAGTATTTCACCTGTCCTGAATATAGACGTTAAGATATTATCTCACTGACTGAAATGTAAAGTATTTCACCTGCCCTGAATATAGACGTTAAGATATTATCTCACTGACTGAAATGTAAAGTATTTCACCTGTCCTGAATATAGACGTTAAGATATTATCTGACTGAAATGTAAAGTATTTCACCTGCCCTGAATATAGGCGTTAAGATATTATCTGACTGACTGAAATGTAAAGTATTTCACCTGTCCTGAATATAGACGTTAAGATATTATCTCACTGACTGAAATGTAAAGTATTTCACCTGCCATCAATATAGACGTTAGGATATTATCTCACTGACTGAAATGTAAAGTATTCTACTTGCCCTCTCGTAGACGTTGAGATATTACCTGACTGACTGAAATGTAAAGTATTTCACCTGTCCTGAATATAGGCGTTAAGATATTATCTGACTGACTGAAATGTAAAGTATTTCACCTGTCCTGAATATAGACGTTAAGATATTATCTCACTGACTGAAATGTAAAGTATTTCACCTGCCCTGAATATAGACGTTAGGATATTATCTCACTGACTGAAATGTAAAGTATTCTACTTGCCCTCTCGTAGACGTTGAGATATTATCTCACTGACTGAAATGTAAAGTATTTCACCTGCCATGAATATAGACGTTAAGATATTATCTGACTGACTGAAATGTAAAGTATTTCACCTGTCCTGAATATAGACGTTAAGATATTATCTCACTGACTGAAATGTAAAGTATTTCACCTGCCCTGAATATAGACGTTAAGATATTATCTCACTGACTGAAATGTAAAGTATTTCACCTGTCCTGAATATAGGCGTTAAGATATTATCTCACTGACTGAAATGTAAAGTATTTCACCTGTCCTGAATATAGACGTTAGGATATTATCTGACTGACTGAAATGTAAAGTATTTCACCTGTCCTGAATAGACGTTAGGATATTATCTCACTGACTGAAATGTAAAGTATTTCACCTGTCCTGAATATAGGCGTTAAGATATTACCTGACTGACTGAAATGTAAAGTATTTCACCTGCCCTGAATATAGACGTTAAGATATTATCTGACTGACTGAAATGTAAAGTATTTCACCTGCCCTGAATATAGACGTTAGGATATTATCTGACTGACTGAAATGTAAAGTATTTCACCTGTCCTGAATATAGACGTTAGGATATTATCTCACTGACTGAAATGTAAAGTATTCTACTTGCCCTCTCGTAGACGTTGAGATATTATCTCACTGACTGAAATGTAAAGTATTTCACCTGCCATGAATATAGACGTTAAGATATTATCTGACTGACTGAAATGTAAAGTATTTCACCTGTCCTGAATATAGACGTTAAGATATTATCTCACTGACTGAAATGTAAAGTATTTCACCTGCCCTGAATATAGACGTTAGGATATTATCTCACTGACTGAAATGTAAAGTATTTCACCTGTCCTGAATATAGACGTTAAGATATTATCTAACTGACTGAAATGTAAAGTATTTCACCTGTCCTGAATATAGACGTTAGGATATTATCTCACTGACTGAAATGTAAAGTATTCTACTTGCCCTCTCGTAGACGTTGAGATATTATCTCACTGACTGAAATGTAAAGTATTTCACCTGCCCTGAATATAGACGTTAAGATATTATCTGACTGACTGAAATGTAAAGTATTTCACCTGCCCTGAACATACGCCATATCTTAACATACACGATTCAGACATTCGTCAGAATTCCACTTACCTTTTGCAGGGAACGGTGGTATTATGAAGGACGTTCCTTGGTGATGTTGATGATCTATTGACTTTGGAACAACAGACTTTGGTTTACAATGTGTTATGTTGACAGACGGCGAGCAGACGGTGTACGATCAGCGATGTGTTGAACCTGAGTGGACTGGGCCCACCACGACGGGCCTGATACCAGCTGCTGTGTCAGATGTGCAAGAGATAATTAGTATGTATACATGTGTGCAGTATGCAAGCATAATACGATTGTTACAGTTGGATGCAAATAAAATTGTGGGTTGTAGGTTGATGTAGGGTAGTATGTGTGGCGAGTTCACGGTTATTGCACTTACACATATGCGCGCGTTTGCACAATAGGCTATTCGGGACGCGTGCCGGTTTGAGTGAGTTGTTAATATACTCTCAATTAAAAAGAAAAGAAACATGACATGCTGTTTTGGAGTTACTTACTGAGTGCATATAACTGATTCAAACATGACATCATTGCTCAGTTACAGCAAAAGCATCACTTTACAAATTTCCAAAACATTATTATCCAGAAAGTGTTTGGTAAAAACACAGAGGGCTATTAAAGCCACTTGGTCAGAGTAAAATGTCAGTATCTGGTGTGACCACCATTAGCGTCGACAACAGCTTGGCAGCGGTGACCCATAGAAGAAAGGATAAGCCGAATGCTGTCTTGAGGAATGTTTTGATACACTTGCTGAAGTGCTGTGTGCAGTTCTTGGAGCGTCTGAGGCGGCGGATTACGCTGGCGCAAGCTGGTCAAGAGTATCCCATAGATGTTCAATGGGGGACAAATCCGGTGATCGAGAAGGCCAAGGTAACAACTGAACATTGTTTTGCTGGAGGAAGACCTGTCAAACAAGTGCACCGTGAGGTCGAGCATTGTCATGCGCCAAAGGTCACGTTGATGTAGGCAACGACATGACGTTGAACTGGTCTTCTGGCTTTTCCTAGCCAATTGCGCACTGTCTGGTCGGAGATTCGGAGCAGTCCAGGGATTTGGATTGTTGTGGATGGTGCGGCCGTGGCGTTTGAACGAAAATGTCTCAACCGGATGTAGCGATCCTGGGCGGCGGTGGTAACTCCAGGTCGACCTGACCTGGGTCTGTCATTAACACTCCCAGTATTTTTGTATCGGGTGCATAGGTTTGAGATGGTCTGTCTGGACACGCTGAAGTGCCTTGCCACATCATGCTGCGATGGCCGTCCTTGTAAACGGCCGATGTCGTTGAGCCTCTGTCAGTCTTTTCATTCTCTTGTCGTCTACAGTAGCTTAAAGCAATGCATGTGGAGTCTCATATTGATGTGGCTTTTTAAAGCCTACAGTCATAGGCTTCAGCTCAGGGCGATACACAATTTCATGATGCTCGTGCATTTCATGTAGGGTGCATTTTAGAGATTCACTACAGACGCGAGTGTAACGTTACGTTTTCGTTAAACGTTTCTTTTTTTAAACGTTTTGTCGTCAGCAACCATTCCCCCACATGCTGTGATTCAGCATGGATTGGTTTATGTCAAATATTTTCCTAAAATTCAAGTTTGTCCTGTCAAGTTTCTTTTTTTGAAGAGTATATATACCATGTCGCAGTTTTTACCCGATTGTTAGGTGTTTAATGTTGTACTCAGCAATAATCAGTCTGGCCCACTGTGACACAGTGGGCTGATTCCGAGCCGAACTGTCCTTCATATGTTATCTCCTTAATGCCGACCACCAGGCAAGGAAACAAACAAGTCAAAACATTGATTACACAACAGTCTCGTTTCCTGTTGACTGGGTTCCGTCCTATTGTGCAACTTAGTACAATAACCAGTCCAGAATTTTTAGACCAATTCATTTAACTGGATACATAAATATTAATCAGTATTATTTGATACATCTAAGCTCTTGTATATTGCAACACTACGCTCCTTCTAATCCTTGCAAACACGTCGTGCAGCGTGCTCTATCGTACAGCGAGCTCTGACTAACGGTAACCTGGAAATCGTGGAAATCTCAAAACGAGGCTCTGCCGCTAGAAATGTTTGGCGGTCTGGTACGGAATTGATATTATATCAATTACATTGTGCGTTACAGAACTACACTAATAAGCGCAACAAAATACATAACAGGTGTAACCAGTGTGCTAGATGCATTGTGAATCATTTTACGACCTCATCATCAAACAGGGGCAGTCTGTGACGTCTTAGTTAAGGTCATGCTGCCTACATCTCACCTCACGATGTTATTAAAGTTTCAAATTATAATTCATTTATAAATACCATTTTCTTATGAAAAAAGGAATTGGAATTCAGTGTAACCATAGTTGTTTGTGATGTCTATTTTCACATTCGGATCGGCTGAAAAGTAGGTCATTGCCTGAATAGGTTAATGAGACTCATGTTTCGGTTTGCGTACTCCTTTTACGTAAGTCGCGTCTGAGGTTCGAACAAGCGACCGGAGGCGGTCCGGTATTTCTGTAAATGATGGTCGTGGGATGAGGTTGATCATGATCAGAATAAGAAAACGTTATGGATATCAAGCTTTCGTATTTACACACCACGTCACCATCAAGTAGTTTGACTACTATAGTATATCTGAGAAAATAAAATATATTCTAAGAAGGTTATATTTTATTTGTTCATATCTATATTTCTATAGATGAACGTGATCTATCAACCCTTCTTCTATTTTCTTTGAATTTAGGGCCGTTATCGTTCGAAGGAACAATAGAAAACATAAACTGTACATGACCAGTCAAGCAAATATTTCTTGCGTTTATCTTATAGTCCGTTTGACTTCGTTTGAGACCGATGAATTGCTCACTAACACAAAATCTAATAAATGCAACAAAACCAAATTTTGCACAGTCCCATGAAGTCGACAGACCAACTCTGATGATTTGTCTAATAATTTTGGACAGCCGAATAAAAAAGTTGTTTAACAAACGATCATTATTTTGTTGTCACTTTTCGCTATTTCTTGCTGTTTTATACTCCAATAACAGCAAACAATATTTAAGCCAATTCTGAAAAAGAACACTTATATATTCAGGTATTCACTCGAAATGCACCCGACACATGTACCTACAAGCTGAACATTTACAACATTTTGTTCCAGCAGGACATACTGACTCCATGCTGACTGGTCCTTGTTTCTTCATACGCAACAAATGTAACAACGCCATCAGTGTACGATCAATTATATTTTCACTTACAGTACATGCTCTTTACAATAAATCTACAATCCGTACAATCTTCACATTGTTGTGGATCATATAGTGTTCATGCCTTCAATCACAGGTTTGTCTGGTCCAGCTTTCAGCCCTGACAGGCCACCCAGATGTAGTAGTGAGAATACGGCTTAGTGTGGCATCACTCATTATTCACTTGCTCCCCTTAATCAGAACAAGATTGACCAAGTTTCAAACCACCTCTATAGAACATCTCTGTGTGGGAATTTGCGAGCGATAATGGATGATATCTTCCTCTTGATATTGGCATTAACATTGTGCAGAGCCTGGTGTTTCCGGGCGGCAGTCTGTAACAGAAGAAAACATCATCCATAGAAGACTGTTGTAGCCATCAAAGCTACTTTTTACGAATTACTTAAGATTTTCTATAATCTTTCAACTTGTCGAAAAATGTATAATGATCTTTAGGAGATGCCACATGATACTTGTATCAAGATGTGGGAGTGTGTATGCTTTGCATTGTATATTATTATGTCAGAAGAAAGCTCCAGTCTCTGACGTTTTCTGTGATACACACACCTTGTGTATGGTGCCTGGAAACCAAGGATAACCAGAAGAGGAGTGTCATCGCTACCAGTGCCACTCTTACAACTGTAAGTAAATAATCTTTGATTTCTCCAAAAACAATAAGCATCTGACCTTACATCTAGCCTAATACATTCCTAGCCGACAAAGTTTCATACAAAATGGAAAGGTTTGGCACCAAAAGCAATCCTTAGGATCAATTGAAGTTGTTGCCCTTGAAAAGAAATTATTGTTCTTTGTAAGACAAAAATGTTTCATGATATATTAAATGGTTTATACTGAAACACTTACTCCATAAATGAAATTAAACAAGGGAGATAACTCTGTAAAATATTAATTCTTGATGCTGGGGTTTTCAAACTCCATCCAATCATGTATATCTGACAGACATCATCCTGGTTTCCACACCAATTTCCAAGAAAATGTTTCTCATTTGGGGTACAGTGCATCATTGGACAAGGGCCATAACTCTGTAAAATATTATTCCTGACCCAGAGTTTCACTCTTATTTAACATACTTATCTCTTAATGATGTATGCAACATGTCTTTCTTCATTTTGTAGTAGTAAATCACTTCTCCCCCATTCAAATCAAATTGACAGATGTATCCCAAATTTACAACCCCTTTGAATTGTTGCAGGGAAGAATAATGAAGGTGAATCGGACTGTTAACAAAGTACCATGGATCCTGGCAGATCTAAGGGAGGCAACTTCACACAGTGAGTTGTGGCAAACAGGAACACACCTTTATATTGCAAGGAATCCATAAGAACAGAGATACTCAATAGAAATATAGTTTGTCATTTTGTGTCAGTTACACCAACAAAGGCTTAAGGATGGTTGAAACCTTCAGAATACAGTGTTTAAAGCCAGACACCTTAAATTGACATTTTTGCTTCAATATTGTCAAAACCACATACCATGTCACATTTGTTTTACACAACTTGTATACATTGTATCACAAAGCACAATACTTTAGTTATTCAGTATAGTTCTATTAAGGTGGCACTGCATTTATGAATTTGACAGACCATGAAACATGATGTGAAAGATGTCACAACTGGTTGTGCTGAGTTATGTCCCTTGGGTGTGCAAGAAACCCTACATACAACACCCTGATTCCCCCCAATTATGTTCCAGGTTTCTCAGCACCACACCCATGTTTCATGGTCTGTCAACGCAGTGAGCTGCATCACTTCAGGGGTTCCTCCCATAAAGCTGACAAGTAGTCACAAAATAAGCTGATTGGTAAGCAAACATTTTGAAAACCAAAGAATTAATGTGGCCTAATACAAGGCAAGAGATATACTGACCTCAATCTGCCACAGGAGGTCGACCTCCCACTTCTTGGTGATGAAGGTTGTGACCTGCCCTGAGGTGTGTGACCCCACCCGACCCACTCTCCCAGCACGGTGAATGTAGTCCGACACAAATGGGGGGCAGTCGAAGTTGATCACGTGATGTACCTGTAGATCAGATGAAATCAGTTTCTTCATGAGTCTCTACGTTTCTTTGGATCCTATAAACCTTTGTATATGTTCTGCAACACTACTATACTTGCACAAGGTTCAGGAAAACTACTACTACTGGTACAGAACTATCTACAGTATGACATCTCCATTCCGTGTTCATAAACATTTGTCACTATTCAGTTTGTTTCAGCGAAGGTGGGTTTGAACAATGTCAAAAATAGTCATCCTAGCAGGTACAGATCACCCTAAATACAGACTGATGGATTGTCTGACAGATCACCCTGGGTACAGACTAGTGGATTGTCTGACAGATCACCCTAAAAGGAGAATGATGGATCGTCTGAGAGATGACCCTAGATAAGGACTGATGGATTATCTGACAGATCACCCTAGGTACAGACTGATGGATTGTCTGACAGATCACCCTAGGTACAGACTGATGGATTATCTGACAGATCACCCTAGGTACAGACTGATGGATTATCTGACAGATCACCCTAGGTACAGACTGATGGATTGTCTGACAGATGACCCTGGGTACAGACTGATGGATTATCTGACAGATCACCCTGGGTACAGACTGATGGATTGTCTGACAGATCACCCTAGGTACAGACTGATGGATTGTCTTACAGATGACCCTGGGTACAGACTGATGGATTATCTGACAGATGACCCTGGGTACAGACTGATGGATTGTCTGACAGATCACCCTAGGTACAGACTGATGGATTATCTGACAGATCACCCTAGGTACAGACTGATGGATTATTTGACAGATCACCCTAGGTACAGACTGATAGATTATCTGACAGATCACCCTAGGTACAGACTGATGGATTGTCTGACAGATCACCCTAGATACAGACTGATGGATTGTCTGACAGATGACCCTAGGTACAGACTGATGGATTATCTGACAGATCACCCTAGGTACAGACTGATGGATTGTCTGACAGATGACCCTGGGTACAGACTGATGGATTATCTGACAGATCACCCTTGGTACAGACTGATGGATTGTCTGACAGATCACCCTAGGTACAGACTGATGGATTGTCTTACAGATGACCCTGGGTACAGACTGATGGATTATCTGACAGATGACCCTGGGTACAGACTGATGGATTGTCTGACAGATCACCCTAGGTACAGACTGATGGATTATCTGACAGATCACCCTAGGTACAGACTGATGGATTATCTGACAGTACAGACTGATGGATTATCTGACAGATCACCCTAGGTACAGACTGATGGATTGTCTGACAGATCACCCTAGATACAGACTGATGGATTATCTGACAGATCACCCTAGGTACAGACTGATGGATTGTCTGACAGATCACCCTAGGTACAGACTGATGGATTATTTGACAGATCACCCTAGATACTGACTGATGGATTGTTTGCCCTGATATTATCACGATGAGACCCTATCAACAATGAGGTTACCCTGAGTAAGTCCAGGCCCCTGGAGGCTATGTCTGTTGCTACCATGACATCCGTCTCTCCACTCTGGAAGCGACTGAACAAACTTGAGAGCCTCTGTAACAAATTCATACAAATACACTTGAGAGGATATGGGGAGCGTCCTGTTCAACCACAATTCAATAAGAATCTCCTCATGAAATTATTTGTTTATCATTATTATTTCTGCTGATGTTTTTGTGCTGTTAATCCCACTCTGCAATATTCTTGTTATATGACAGCAGTCTGTAAATAATCAATTCTGGACCAGACATTCCAGTGATTGACATCATAAGCAATGACCTATACAACTGGGTTACGATGACAAGTGAGTCTGACCACCAAATCACCGCTTATAACAAGCAAAGGTTGCTGAAGAACAATTCTAATCCACATACACTGATATTCCATCACATATATTTCAAATTTCAAAATAAATTGCAAACACTTGCAAACATCTACGAACTGCCAGGCAAGTTTCAGACTCTGTATTCAGAGCAGTCTGCGCTGAAAAGGCGAACTATGAGGAACTTCCCCAAGGGGTGGTACTAAAGGGGTTGTTATTCAAGTTGCTGATCACCATAAACCAGTGAGGTCTTGTGTACCTTCTCCTGTATTGCGGCATTCATGAAGACGTTTGGGACAGCGTTCTCCCGCAGGAGTTCACTCAGCCAGAAGCTGGTCTCACTCCTGTTGCTGAAGATGAGGGTTGGGAGGCCCTTCTGATGGTTCTTGCGGGCAAGCTGCACAATGGTCTCTGTGGAGAGTCAGAGGAAGATTTTAGTGCCAGATATTGCAGCCAGCATTAACATAACCTGCTCTCTGTGAGGGGTTCAGTTGGAGGGTGTGGATGGTTTACCTGCCTTCTGTGAGGGCTTGAGTTGGAGGAAGGTGTGGATGGTTTACCTGCTTTCTGTGAGGGGTTCAGTCTGGGGAAGGTATGGATGGTTTACCTGCTTTCTGTGAGGGCTTGAGTTGGAGGAAGGTGTGGATGGTTTACCTGCTTTCTGTGAGGGGTTCAGTCTGGGGAAGGTATGGATGGTTTACCTGCTTTCTGTGAGGGGTTGAGTCAGGGGAAGGTGTGGATGGTTTACCTGCTATCTGTGAGGGGTTCAGTCAGAGGAAGGTGTGGATGGTTTACCTGCTCTCTGTGAGGGGTTCAGTTGGAGGAAGGTGTGGATGGTTTACCTGCTATCTGTGAGGGGTTCAGTCAGAGGAAGGTGTGGATGGTTTAGCTGCTTTCTGTGAGGGGTTCAGTCTGTGAGGGGTTCAGGAGGAAGGTGTGGATGGTTTACCTGCTCTCTGTGAGGGCTTGAGTCGGAGGAAGGTGTGGATGGTTTACCTGCTTTCTGTGAGGGGTTCAGTCGGAGGAAGGTGTGGATGGTTTACCTGCTTTCTGTGAGGGGTTCAGTCGGAGGAAGGTGTGGATGGTTTACTCTGCTTTCTGTGAGGGCTTGAGTCGGAGGAAGGTGTGGATGGTTTACTTGCTCTGTGAGGGCTTGAGAGTGAGGAGGAAGGTGTGGATGGTTTACCTGCTTTCTGTGAGGGCTTGAGTCGGAGGAAGGTGTGGATGGTTTACTTGCTCTCTGTGAGGGCTTGAGTCGGAGGAAGGTGTGGATGGTTTACCTGCTTTCTGTGAGGGGTTGAGTCGGAGGAAGGTGTGGATGGTTTACCTGCTTTCTGTGAGGGCTTGAGTCGGAGGAAGGTGTGGATGGTTTACTTGCTCTCTGTGAGGGCTTGAGTCGGAGGAAGGTGTGGATGGTTTACCTGCTCTCTGTGAGGGGTTCAGTCGGAGGAAGGTGTGGATGGTTTACTTGCTCTCTGTGAGGGGTTCAGTCAGGGGAAGGTTTGGATGGTTTACTTGCTCTCTGTGAGGGGTTCAGTCAGGGGAAGGTGTGGATGGTTTACTTGCTCTCTGTGAGGGGTTCAGTCAGGGGAAGGTGTGGATGGTTTAACTGTTATCTGTGAGGGGTTCAGTCAGGGGAAGGTGTGGATGGTTTACCTGCTTTCTGTGAGGGCTTGAGTCGGAGGAAGGTCTGAGGTACATGAGGCATGAGGTAGTGGACATGATCTGACGTCACTCTGTGAAGACTGTTGACCTGGACATAGCAGCAAGAACCATTCACTCAGCAGGACAGGTACAAGACAATTTCACACAGCACGCCTGACTTTAGAACCCTTTACTCAGGAACCATTAACCCATGAGAACTATTAAAAAACCTATTTACCATTTATCAGTTGACTGAAACGTCCATGTAAACTATAATGTGCTCACTGCTATGGTGTCTCCAATCTTCTCCTCCAGGCCTCGGGGGATGGTGGCCCCCACTAGTGTGAACTGTGCCCCATCCTGGTGTCCAGCTGCTGTCTGACCACTGCTAGCTGTCACCTGGAAACAAGATGTATTCCCTGACATGTACTTCCTCAACAATCAATGAAAGCTTTGAGTTCTAAAGACATTGTACATTTGTAGAGGGCATTTTATGTATGTTATAACCATCTTACCCTCAATTTCTGGAGAATAGACATGACTTCTGAAGAAAAGCTATCATCCAGGAGAGAGTCCGCCTCATCTAGAATGACATGCTGCAGGAATCCTGGCTTCATTAACCCTGGAAGAAGGATGTTTGTCAACAACACAACAGTTACATTCAGAGCTGAACATCCAGAACAACCTCGGAGTTTCTTTCATCACAACATCAAGAAAGTCCAAAATATTGAAGCCATTTACCACTTTTGTTTTACATCATTCCAGCTACATCCTGCAATATGCAGGAGTCAACCAGTGGCCGACATTGGGACCACCACCTTGATAGTTCACAATCAACCAGCGACCGACATTGGGACCACCACCTTGATAGTTCACAATCAACCAGCGGTCGACATTGGGACCACCACCTTGATAGTTCACAATCAACCAGCGGCCGACATTGGGACCATCACCTTGATAGTTCACAGTCAACCAGCGGCCGACATTGGGACCATCACCTTGATAGTTCACATTGGGACCACCACCTTGATAGTTCACAGTCAACCTGCGGCCGACATTGGGACCATCACCTTGATAGTTCACAATCAACCAGTTTACTCATTGTAACCACCTGATCCATATTTGTTAGCTCATATTTATTTTTATTATAGGATATTTATATAGCGCACACGTCCAGGCAACTAGTGCATGCTCAAGACGCTGGTATTTTTTCCCTCAATCTTTGGATGTCAGTTTCAACGGCACATCATATTATCAATCTCAACTCCCTGGGGAGTATACAACTCTTGCAGTCACTAGGCGCACCAAGTTATTGTGGCTTTCTCATCCTAACGAGGTACCCATTCACAGCTGGGTGGACTGGGACACGTAGTCACAGTATTTTGTCCAAGTTTGCTGCACGTTGCTGTACCCGCAACTAGGTGTTTGCATGTATTCATGTGGCCACCATCTGGTCATATACCAACGAACTCGTGGGTTCTTTTAAGTACACAGGGTTGTGTACTGTACACTAGGATTTGTGACAACACTGAAAGAGTCTGCACACAAAGTTGACTCCGAGGTTTTTACACCCGGTCACAGGTGGGCTCGATCCCGACACCTCAAGTTTGCTGGAACACTAGCCTGGCGCCTTAGCCAGCTCACCCACCGCGCCCCACAAGCATGGGATGATGGGGATCTTACTTGACCCCATTAAAAATCCAAATCTAAACATAACATAAACTCAAATTGCTGTTTAAGGTAAGCTTAAATATCCTGTATTTATAACGGCTTCATTCATCAAATGTTAAAGTCAAAGATGCCTATGCCTCAAAGCCGTTCTCAATGGACTTCATCAACATCATACCTGCCCCCAGGAACTTCCTCAGAACACCTGGTGTTGCCATCAATATATCCATCTGAGCTTTTTCACCCCACGCCAATCGGTGCTGGAAAAAGGAAGCAAAACATTTTATAGACAAGTATTTAACCTGCGTGAGTGAGTGAGTGAGTGAGGGAGGGAGGGAGCCACTTGGGTTACAGCATTTTAAGAAATATTCCAGCTACATCACAGAAGGGTCACCAGAAATGGGCTTCACACATTGTACCCATGTGAGGAGTCAAACCCAAGCCTTCGTTGTGACGAGTGTACCAATAGGCTATCCTACCGCCCCATATTCAACTTAAAGACAGGTAGGCACACCATGATCACGACCTTTATAGGTTTGGAAGATCTTAAACTTGTGTGTTATCATAGTCCTCAGAATGACTAGAGAGTGCAGATTTCACATTTGGTTTCAATGTAACAGCGGCAACATGAAGTTGTGATTTAGTACATATTGCATACCTTAGTTCCACGTCCTCCACATATTGCATACCTTAGTTCCACGTCCTCCACATATTGCATACCTTAGTTCCACGTCCTCCACATATTGCATACCTTAGTTCCACGTCCTCCACATATTGCATACCTTAGTTCCACGTCCTCCACATATTGCATACCTTAGTTCCACATATTGCATACCTTAGTTCCACGTCCTCCACATATTGCATACCTTAGTTCCACGTCCTCCACATATTGCATACCTTAGTTCCACGTCCTCCACATATTGCATACCTTAGTTCCAAGTCCTCCACATATTGCATACCTTAGTTCCACGTCCTCCACATATTGCATACCTTAGTTCCACGTCCTCCACATATTGCATAGGGTTGTATATCTGTATGTTCACACAGTCTCTGGCACACATCCTACAAACAGAACAATATATATAATGTGGGACAATAAAATGCACTCATGCAGTTCTTGGTGAAACCCACAAGCTTGTGTATGGGGTTGACACACCCAGATAGATAAAATGGACAAAGCAGGTTTCAAATCCTCAATTGTAGGTTTCTGGCTTGCCCAAGGTATGCAACTCTGCACTGGAAATTGTGGTATATTCGACAAATGAAGGCCTTATACATATACACATAAAGTAACTGTTTAATTAGATACAGAAGATTATTTGATGAACTTTTCCTGCAATTTGAGAATAAATCAATCTTTGTGAGTGAGTTTAGTTTTATGCAACACTCAACAATATTCTAGCTATATGGCGGCGGTCTGTAAATAATCGAGTCTGGACCAAACAATCCACTGATCAACAGCATGAGCATCGATCTGCGCAATTGGGAACCGATGACGTGTCAACCTAGTCAGCGAGTCTGACCACCCGATCCCGTTAGTCGCCTCTTACGATAATCATGGGTTACTGAAGATCAATATTATAACCCTGACCTTCACGGGTATGTCAACATGACCCTGGCTTTATTTTGTCTGGTGGGTGAGTTCAGATACACATACCAAGATCTGGTCGGTGAGTTCCCGGGAAGGGGTGAGGATTATTGTCCGTGGAGAGTTTGGGGGGTGGTCTCCGCTATATCTCAGCTTCTGGTGGTGGATCATCTCCAGTGCTGGCAGTAGGTAGGCCAGTGTCTTACCACTTCCTAAAACACAGGGAATGGACATTGATTATCTCCAGTGCTGGCAGTAGGTAGGCCAGTGTCTTACCACTTCCTAAAACACAGGGACTGGACATTGATTATCTCAGCATCAAGAGAAATAAAAACACTAGAGACATATAAACCACTAACATGTGTATGCCTCAAAGCATCACAACACCCTTCCCCACCCTCACAGTATAATGCCCCAGCATCACAACACCCTTCCCCACCCTCACAGTATAATGCCCCAGCATCACAACACCCTTCCCCACCCTCACAGTATAATGCCCCAGCATCACAACACCCTTCCCCACCCTCACAGTATAATGCCCCAGCATCACAACACCCTTCCCCACCCTCACAGTATAATGCCCCAGCATCACAAGACCCTTCCCACCACCTCACAGTATAATGCCCCAGCATCACAAACCCCTTCCCCACCCTCACAGTATAATACCCAAGCATCACAAGACCCTTCCCCACCCTCACAGTATATAATGCCCCAGCATCAAGACATCCTTCCCCACCCTCACAGTATAATGCCCCAGCATCACAACACCCTTCCCCACCCTCACAGGTATAATGCCCCAGCATCACAACACCCTTCCCCACCCTCACAGTATAATGCCCCAGCATCACAACACCCTTCCCCACCCTCACAGTATAATGCCCCAGCATCACAACACCCTTCCCCACCCTCACAGTATAATGCCCCAGCATCACAACACCCTTCCCCACCCTCACAGTATAATACCCAAGCATCACAAGACCCTTCCCCACCCTCACAGTATAATGCCCCAGCATCAAGACATCCTTCCCCACCCTCACAGTATAATGCCCCAGCATCAAGACATCCTTCCCCACCCTCACAGTATAATGCCCCCAGCATCACAACATCCTTCCCCCCCTCACAGTATAATGCCCCAGCATCAAGACATCCTTCCCCACCCTCACAGTATAATGCCCCAGCATCACAACACCCTTCCCCACCCTCACAGTATAATGCCCCAGCATCACAACACCCTTCCCCACCCTCACAGTATAATGCCCCAGCATCACAACACCCTTTCCCCACCCTCACAGTATAATACCTAAGCATCACAAGACCCTTCCCCATCCTCACAGTATAATGCCCCAGCATCAAGACATCCTTCCCCACCTCACAGTATAATGCCCCAGCATCAAGACATCCTTCCCACCCTCACAGTATATCACGCCCCAGCATCAAGACATCCTTCCCCACCTCACAGTATAATGCCCCAGCATCAAGACATCCTTCCCCACCCTCACAGTATAGTATGCCCCAGCATCAAGACATCCTTCCCCCACCCTCACAGTATAATGCCCCAGCATCAAGACATCCTTCCCCACCCTCACAGTATAATGCCCCAGCATCAAGACATCCTTCCCCACCCTCACAGTATAATGCCCCAGCATCAAGACATCCTTCCCCCATTCCTCACAGGTATAATGCCCCAGCATCAAGACATCCTTCCCCACCCTCACAGTATAATGCCCCAGCATCACAACACCCTTTTCCCACCCTCACGGTATAATGCCCCAGCATCACGCACACCCTTTCCTCACCATCACAGTATAATGCCCCAGCATCACAACACCCTCCCCCACCTTTACAGTATAATGCCCCAGCATCACAACACCTCCCCTTAACCTCACAGTATAATGCCCCAGCATCACAACACCTTTTCCCCACCTCACAGTATAATGCCCCAGCATCACAACATCCTCCCCCACCATCACAGTATAATGCCCCAGCATCACGACAACCTTCCCCACCCTCACAGTATAATGCCTTAAGCATCACAACACTTTTCCCACTTCTCACAGTATAATGCCCCAGCATCCTGACACCTCTTCCCCACCCTCACAGTATAATGCCCCAGCATCACAACAGCCTTCCCCACCCTCACAGTATAAAGCCCCAGCATCCTGACACCTCTTCCCCACCCTCACAGTATAATGCCCAAGCATCACAACACTTCTTCCCCACCTCACAGTATAATGCCCCAGCATCACGACAACCTTCCCCACTATCACAGTATAATGCCCCAGCATCACAACACCCTTCCCACCCTCACAGTATAATGCCCCAGCATCACAACACCCTTCCCCACCCTCACAGTATAATGCCCCAGCATCACAACACCCTTCCCCACCCTCACAGTATAAAGCCCAAGCATCCTGACACCCTTTTCCCCACCTCACAGTATAATGCCCCAGCATCACAACACCCTTCCCCCACACTCACAGTATAAAGCCCAAGCATCCTGACACCTCTTCCCTCACACCCTCACAGTATAATGCCCCAGCATCAACAACACCCTTCCCCACCCTCACAGTATAATGCCCCAGCATAACAACACCCTTCCCCACCCTCACAGTATAATGCCCCAGCATCACAACACCCTTCCCCACCCTCACAAGTATAATGCCCCACCATCACAACACTTTCCCCACCCTCACAGTATAATGCCCCAGCATAACAACACTTTCCCTTAACCTCACAGTATAATGCCCCAGCATAACAACACCCTTCCCCCCACCCACACAGTATAATGCCCCAGCATAACAACACCCTTTTCCCCTACCTCACAGTATAATGCCCCAGCATCACAACACCCCTTTCCCCACCTCACAGTATAATGCCCCAGCATCACAACACCCTTCCCCACCTCACAGTATAATGCCCCAGCATCACAACACCCTCTTCCCCACCTTCTTCACAGTATAATGCTCCCCAGCATCACAACAACACCTCTTCCCTCACACCTCACAGTATAATACCCTGACCAAGCATAACAACACCCTTCCTCACTCTACATAGTATAATGCCCCAGCATCACGACACCCTTCCCCCACCATCACAGCATAATGCCCCAGCATCACAACACCCTCCCCCAACCTCACAGTACAATGCCCCAGCATAACAACACCCTTCACTCAATTCCTACACAGTATAATGCCCTAGCATCACAACACCTTTCCCCACCTCACAGTATAATGCCCCAGCATCACACAACACCCTTCTCCCCACCTCACAGTATAATGCCCCAGCATCACAACATCCCTCCCCCACCATCACAGTATAATGCCCCAGCATCACGCACAACCTTCCCCCACCACAGTATATAATGCCCAAGCATCACAACACCCTTTCCCACCCTCTCACAGTATAATGCCCCAGCATCCTGACACCCTTCCCCCACCCTCACAGTATAATGCCCAAGCATCACAACAGCCTTCCCCACCCTCACAGTATAATGCCCCAGCATCACAACACCCTTCCCCCACCCAAACAGAGAGGTAAGGTGGAGCATCGTTGTCCCCAGCCCAGTACCTGTCTCAGCTGCACACAGGACATTGTCACCTTCTAGGACGGCTGGAATTGTTTTTGCCTGCAAGAAAAAAGACCTGTCTGAAACCTACTATAGTCTAAAAGTCATCGAAAATGTCGAAAATTTTCCATAAATCAAGAGTATGGTACCCTAAGACCCCATAACTGCAAGTGGGAAGGTCGTAAACTGTTGATGACATGGATCATGAATATTAATCAATAGATTGTCTAGTCAAGACTTAAAGAGTCCAAGGCAACCATTAAATAGCTTGCTGAGTCAGGCATCAAACGAACAAAATTGGATTCAGAAAAAGATTGTGACTACCCCGTCCTAAATATACCCCAACCACTACCTGTATAGGCCATTAACAGCATGTAACCATCCAATCACCTATATGTACCCTGCCTGTCACCCACATGTACCCTGCCTGTCACCCACATGTACCCTGCCTGTCACCCACATGTACCCTGCCTGTCACCCACATGTAACCTGCTGATAACCTGTACATAACTAAAACATCTGCATGTACACAGCCTGTCACTAGTGTCAGCTGTATGTACCCTGACCTCACCTGTATGTACCCTGACATCACCAGTATGTACCCTGACATTACCTGTATGTATCCCGACATCACCTGTATGTACCCTGACATCACCAGTATGTACCCTGACATTACCTGTATGTGTACTCTGACCTCACCTGTATGTACCCTGACATCACCAGTATGTACCCTGACATCACCAGTATGTACCCTGACATCACTAGTATGTACCCTGACCTCACCTGTATGTATCCTGACATCACCAGTATGTACCCTGACATCACCAGTATGTACCCTGACATCACTTGTATGTACCTTGACCTCACCTGCATGCATCCTGACATCACCTGCATGTATCCTGACATCACCAGTATGTACCCATGCCCTGAAATCACTTCCTATGTACTTCACCTGCATGCATCCTGACATCACCAGTATGTACCCTGACATCACTTGTATGTACCTTGACCTCACCTGCATGCATCCTGACATCACCTCTATGTACCCTGACATCACCAGTATGTACCCTGAAATCACTTGTATGTACTCAGACTTCACCTGCATGCATCCTGACATCACCTGTATGTACCCTGACATCACTTGTATGTACCCTGACATCACTTGTATGTACTCTGACCTCACCTGTATGTACCCTGACATCACCTGTATGTACTCCTGACATCACCTGTATGTACCCTGACATCACCTCTATGTACCCTGACATCACCAGTATGTACCCTGACATCACTTGTATGTACTCTGACATCACCTGTATTACCCTGACATCACCTGTATGTACCCTGACATCACTTGTATGTACCCTGACATCACTTGTATGTACTCTGACATCACCTGTATGTACCCTGACATCACTTGTATGTACTCTGACATCACCTCTATGTACCCCCTGACAACACCAGTATGTACCCTGACATCATCAGCTTTGTATGTACCTGACCTCACCTGTATGTACCCTGACATCACCTGTATGTACCCTGACATCACCTCTATGTACCCTGACATCCCTTGTATGTACTCTGACATCACCTGTATGTACCCTGACATCACTTGTATGTACTCTGACATCACCTGTATGTACCCTGACATCACCAGTATGTACCCTGACATCACTTGTATGTATCCTGACATCACCTGTATGTACCCTGACATCACCTCTATGTACCATGACCATCACCAGTGAGCACCCTGACATTACCAGTATGTACCCTAACTTCACCTACATGTACCCTGAGATCACCTGTATGTACCCTGACATCACCAGTATGTATGCTGTCATCACCTATATGTACCCTGACATCACCTGTATGTGAGTAGGCTCTGTATATCCCAGCTTATGAAGTCCCTTTTGGAGTCCAGTATGAAGTTCGAATTCTGTGAAACTAGGATGATGGGTTGTTCCTTTAAGAGCAGGGTTCTGGAACAGAAAGTTAACAATCACTTGAAATCAAAGTGGAGGTCTGTGCGAAATTGAATATGCAGTAATGGAATATGGGCTAGTTTATGAACTATTCAAAATCGCTCAAAATACTTCTCAATGAAATAGCAGGCTGCAGGTGTATCAACATCGTGTTGCAATGTACAACTTTTATTTCAGTCATTAGAACCTCTTGACTTACATGCCTAATTTTAAACACTGACCATTTACTATCCAGACATACCTGGCTATAAGGGACCCTGTCACAGACACTACCCTGGCTATAAGGAACCAGTCACAGACACTACCCTGGCTATAAGGGGGACACTACCCTGACTATAAGGGACCCTGTCACAGACACTACCCTGGCTATAAGGAACCAGTCACAGACACTACCCTGGCTACAAGGGAACCAGTCACAGACACTACCCTGGCTACAAGGGAACCTGTCACAGACACTACCCTGGCTATAAGGGACCTGTCACAGACACTACCCTGGCTATAAGGGAACCTGTCACAGACACTACCCTGGCTATAAGGGAACCTGTCACAGACACTACCCTGGCTATAAGGGACCCTGTCACAGACACTACCCTGGCTATAAGGGACCCTGTCACAGACACTACCCTGGCTATAAGGGACCCTGTCACAGACACTACCCTGGCTATAAGGGACCCATGTCTACCCTGGCTATAAGGGGGACCCTGTCACAGACACTACCCTGGCTATAAGGGAAGGGACCCTGTCACAGACACTACCCTGGCTATAAGGGACCCTGTCACAGACATGTACCTGACTATAAGAGACCCTGTCACAGACATGTACCTGACTATACGGGACGAGGGTGAAGTGGTCTCCTGCCGACTGCTTGTTCTTCCAGCCGTGGGATGCAAGTATCTTTGGATCAAACCCACTGTATGTCTGCCCCTTGTGGTGATTGAACTGCTCTCTCTTGCACGATATCACCAGTGGGGACTTGAATGTTGATCGGCGCTTCTTTTGCAGTGCCAATAATTCTTTTCTTTCCTTGGCTTTTTCAACCTTTTGGACCATTTTCTGGGGAAGTGTGATTCTTGGCAAGCTATTATTGATAATATGTGTCTGAAAAAAGAAAAAGAGTGACTCTGGTTCAAAGTCATAGTTTTTAGAGATAATTTATATGCGAACTTGCAGAGATGCAGTGAGTTAGGAGAATAAACATCGTAAAGGATCTTGAGATGCATATCAATGTCAGATTCAAATCATAGTCATACCCTACTATTCGCAGTACAACTAGTAAGTGCTGAAATTCTACTTCTACAGGATTCTGTAGGGGTGGTTTCACCATTTTCATCTTGATAAGAAAAATATTTAATTCTTATACAAACACAGACTGATGCTTGTTGACATTTGTGAACACACTGTCTTCATCATCAAGGCCATATATGCAGCTTCAACCCAGATAGCAAAGGTGTGTTGGGCCAATGTTGGTATATGGTTGGTTGGTTGGCCAACAGTTTGACAACATTGGCCCAACGTTATCTTGATGACTTAAAAGTAACCGTGGCTTTTGACACGCTTGGTCCAACAGTGGGCCAACATTTTAAAAACTCTGCCTATGTTCCCTGATCTTTCATCTATTTCACAAAGTTAGCCACCGCTGGCCCAACATTGTGAATAAAAGAGTGAGCACACGGCCATTTTAGCCATGTTTTCTTATAAAGATTTTGATGAAAGTTGAAATAATTACACAGACAAAAGAAAGAATCCATTTCCCTGTTTTTAACCATGATAAAGTGAATATTACAGCATTGTTTTCTCCAAATTGAATACCAAACTTGTCATCATTGATAGCTTTACCTGATATTCAAAGAGCAGACGACACTACATTTCTGGAGGCCTTCAACTGGTAAATATGCATTGTTATTTCTGTGATACTGAATTGCAAAAATATATTGTGAAATAATTAATTATAATCATCATTTAGGCTAAAGAAAGTGACACATACCGTAACTGAAAGGCAATTGATTGAGTAGATAAAAGATTTAATTGACTCTTTTCTGTAGGTAGCCTGTTTTAAACCACTTTGATAAATCTCATTTCATTTTAAATTATTTAAATTTATTGTGTTTACTTTTATTAACATTATGTTTTTGTCAGTTACACTCCTGTTTCCATATACAACTCTCTCTTTTATTCATCTTTACAACCAATAATTGCTAAACATCATCAAATCAGATATATGTGTCACAGTTATAGTAGTTACACGTCATATCCAAATAAAACATTGTTTGAACAGCATTCTAGAAGTTGGTCAGTCAAAATGAAACATACATCTCTATGGACAACAACTTCTTGTTTATTGTATAGAGCGACGTTTCGATGTAGATTCTTTACACCTTTATCAAGCTAAAAGTGACTACAACCAAATGATGAGAAGTATATATACATGTACATAGTATGTTTTGTCAAATAAACATAATTGGGAGCTGCCAGTTTGGGACTAAGAACAACAAATTGATCTAGTGATGAAACCAATTAACAAGGGAGGGTGGGGTGTTAGGTTGTAACAACCTGATAGGGTGATTTGATAGAGTCTATAGTTTGATTAGTTCTTCATATCCCAATGGTATGTAGTATCCTTGGTCTCTATTGATCAAAGGTTTGTGGCGGCTGATTTTGATGGCTTCCAAAAGTTTCTTTTGTGCAGTCCTGATTCTTGGTGGATAAGATTTCGAATTTGTCAAACCAGCCCCCTAAAACTAAGTTAGCGCCATCTCAACCCTGATCAAGCATGCTAAGAACATTGCTCCAGCAGCCATGACCTAGGAACATGAGCGGAACCACCTACAACATGTCTTCACGAAGCCTCAACCAGTAACCCACCAACTCATAGTCTGTTTGATTTCACTTGAGACCGATGAATTGCTCACTAACACAAAATCAAATAATTGCAACAAAACCAAATTTTGCAGTCACATGAAAACGACAGACCAATGAAGAACTAATCAAACTATAGACTCTATCAAAGCATCCTATCAGCTTGTTGTTACAACTGAATCCCCTGTTTATTGGCTTCATCACCATTCCATTTGTTGTTCTTAGTCCCCATCTGGCCTCTCCCAATAATGTACTAGTTGTTATTCAATTACATGTTGTTGTTAATGTCAGTCTGTTGATTGTCAAAACATACTACGATATATACTTCTCATCATTTGGTTTTAGCTTGGTAACAGTGTAAGAATCTACATCCTAACGTAACTCTGTGCAATAAACAAGACGCTTTCAATAATTAAGTTGTACATGGTATGTTTCAAATAAAACATAGGGCCAAATACTATGTCCTTTTACGATAGATATCTGACAGTATAGTGAAATTTTGGGTTGTTTTTTCAGGAGCAGTTCAAAACTGTCAGCGGCGACACAGCCAAAAGACCTAAAACAAGAATATTTTCAGGAAATACAATAATGTTCAAATAACAATGAAAAAAAAAGAATTAAATAGTTCACTTGATTAACTTGTTGTGTTGTTTATATATGTTTCTGATTGCAGAGGTCAGGAAAGAGCTAAATGTTGAAATACAGTTGTGCCAACATAAGGCCAACTAAATCACATCCTTGGGCCAAGCATGGGCCATGGTTTAGTACAAAGGTCAAGAAAGAGCTGAAAAGTTGAAACACGGTTGTGCCAACATAAGGCCAACCAAATCACTAAGTTGGGCCAACTATGGGCAATAGTTTTGTGTGAATTTTCATTCGTTGGCCCAACAATTAGCCAACATGATGGGCCACTGTGGAGCCGATGAGCATATCCAAGTGGGCCCATCGTCAGCTTGACAACAATGGGCCAACCAAACCGCTGATTATGGGCCAACTATGGGCCAACATATCAATGCTATCTGGGAAGGAGCTTAAAAAAAAACACAGAGTTCGGACATTCAATTTTAGGCTCTTTACACATTTTCTCAAGTTCAACATCAACAACGTATGAAGAATAATATCTAAACATACGAAGGAGGAAGAAAAAATGTGTGGGTCTGTAAAATAATGCAACATGAAGCAGTGACAGTATGCAATATTTTAAATTGCTGTCACAACATACTTACAGAAGACAGTCTGTGACACCTGATTAGCTGATCCAAAACCCGGAACAGGTAGGATCTATCCATGTTACCTTAGTGATGATGTTATGCTAGCTACTCACTGGTGTTCTCTGAAAGCATGAGTATTCATTATTCATGTGATTACAATGGGAAATTGCCAGGTACCTATGCATGTCTTTAGAGGTGACTGAACCGATCAAGATATGAGGCCTGGTGACTTGGATGACGGTATGAACAAAATCTTACAGCTTTGTTATTACCTGAGACCTAATGTTCACATATATGCTAATATGTCCTCTAATAATAATTACAGAGTGGGTTGGGTAAGTTAAAATTGAACTTCGTATCAGCTTTATTTCAGCAAGAGACATTATATTCACAGAAAATATTTACAGAAGTTCTAAGAGTTCATGTAAACTTTAGCGTGTTCTCGTTTAACGTTGACCTGTGCAATATTGCAGCAAAATTACTTGGGCCTTTAAATAATCGAATACGGACAATGCCTTGATTGCTGTTATGAGCTTCGATCAATGTCATCGTGGTACGATAGAGACACTGACAACTGACACACGGTACGAGTTGAACCAGGGATGGTGTGATGACCCTGGTTGTACCTCTGTACACTGTAGAACGGTAAGTCAGCAGTTCATCTTATATATGAGAACTCAACTCCTACAGTCTTACTGATAATAATGTAAAGAATACACAGAGTATATCGAAATATCACCACTGTACCTCTCTGTTGTACCCATTCCGTCTTCCGCATGTTAGTCTATAACTCGTGATCACTCCTAAGGTATTAATACGCGTTAAAAGTGCTTGTTAGGGATCGTATTGGTGAGTGTATGGAGCTTAACGAAAAAACTCCTTACACTAAACGCAATGTTTGGAGCATCAGTCACTCTCCAGTTTTCTCTACGACAGTTCAAGAGCTATCAATATAGTGTCCGGATATGTTTGCGTTACGTTCGATTCACGGGTATAAATGAATACCATGTGCATTTTTTACTTTGAATATAAAAACTGAAACATACAGATGTAAGATAAAAATTCGTGTGGTGTGATTATTGTGTGTATTTCACTGTACGTGCCAGTGTAAACCACATGTAAACATCACCTGTTGTGTGTGAGTGCTTCTCTCTCTTAACACACACACACACACACACACACACACACACACAAACAAACAAACAACACAAATACAAAGACAGACATATGGCAATCCGTTTTCACATTTATTATGAAATTAAATATATCTTCAATTATCAAGATATCAGCTGTATTCTATTTAAAGATATCAATAATGTTTTAAGATATCGATAAATAATTGGAGATAACTTTAATTCATTTTAAGATATCTCTGATTCAATTCAAGATGTAAGGAAATATTTTCAAGATATCTTTAATATGCTTCATCGTATCCATAATTCATTTCGCGAGATCATAAATTATATTACAGATATCTATAATTATCTCTGTTCGAGGTATACTTAGTATTCAATTCAAGATATCTCTTCTTTCATTCAAGATATCTTTAAAAGTGCTTAAAATACCAGTATGTCTTAATAAATGTGGAAACGGCTTGCCTTACAGACAGACAATCTCTTTTTCAGTGGTGTAATCAAAATCTAATAATGAACACAACATGCATTTGTGTAGAAATAATTAAAGGATTATGCACTATGCGTTTCTTTATATGACCAGTGATATTTGATGTGACAGACGGCAAAGGTATCTTGTACTCATACATCATATCTTTAATGCTTTATTTGATATCCGTCTCGAATGACCTTCTGTTCCCTGTTGGCGAAACAATGTTAACGCCACACCATCCCCGTACGTCTGCCTTGGATGGTGACATGGACTGTCCACCCGACCACCACGATATCGATGTACTTCTAGAGAGCAAACCGGCGTCAGTTGTTCCCGGGCTCTTTCCGACCAGTGCACGACCCTCGTAATGGATTTATGAAGCCACGGATCTACTAACGTTGTCATCTCGATCCTTGCCCAATGTCATCTTCGACGTTAATGTTCACGGGTCAAGGTAACGAGCGTGGTGACATCGGCTTCAGTATTGATGTGAGGTAAGCGCTGTTACTTCCGCTTCCGTAGCTGTTACGACCCTGTTGTACAATTATGAAGTACGCATGTACGGATAAGTATACTAAAGTTTAAACAGTCTGACGCTGGTTGCACGCATGAACTTGAATTTTATTACATGCTTACACAGGTGTAATCACTGATTTTCAGAGCGATTTTCCCCTTTACACCAAACGGATTTGTTTCTGTAGAAAGTTAAGACTGGCTATGCTCTTGCACTATTGCTTGGTGTCTTGGCACTCAGTTACATCATTCCTACGCCCTTCTCTCCAGTAAGCAGAGACCGTATATAATAGATTATATGGTCTCTGCTGTAAGGTAATCGTGGTGTTTCTTTTGTGTTTTTCCATTAATTGTGGGGTCTTTTTAAAAACAATTCTTGACGTTCTTTGAGAGGCATTTTAGAAGTTGTGAAGATGAAGGAAAACTAAGTTCTATGGATAGCCAACTTCTTTATTGCAATGAGTGCGACGTTTCGGTGTAGGTACGCTTTGTGATCTTTAATTCGTAGTGGGAGCGGGCGGGATGATTCACCAATATAGAAGTCTCTTTGTTGTTGACGGTGGTTTGCCTGTGGCTTGGAGGAGGTTCTGGATGGACTTGCCTTTCTGGAACAGGACGTCTATGCCTGCTTGCTGCTGAAGGAGTCGTCTTATCTGGTGGCTGACTGCTGGGACATACTAGATACTTATTACAAAGGGTGCTGATTACCGGCGGGGTGGTTTATCTCTTGGTTGAGGGTGGTTGTGATGACATTGTTGACTAACTTCAGGGGGTACTGGTTATAATGGACGAAGACATGGCGGAGGTGGTTTAGTTCGGATTCTTGGGCTTCTGTTGTCGAGTAGATGTTCTTAGCTCTTCGGGTGAGGATGGATATGATGCCTTTCTTAACCTGTAGAGGGTGGTTGGAGGTAAAGTGAAGGTATTTGTCGGTATGGGTAGGTTTCCTGCAGACAGTAGTGGAGAGCTTGTTAGCTTCTTGCTTTACTAGGACGTCGAGGCAATCTGGGAGTATTTTACCAGCTTCGTTGTGAATGTGGAGACTTCTATATTGGTGAAACATCCCGCCCGCTCCCACTACGAATTAAAGAACACAAAGCGTCAGTCCAGAAAAACGGCTCCAAATCCGCCATAGCCGACCACACCCAAGCCAACCCTGACCATGCCATCCTATGGAACAACATCGATATCCTGGAAATCAACCGACAAGACTACAAGATTAGGAAACTCCTTGAAGCCATAAACATCCAACGCCACAACCCCACAATGAATCGTGATCAAGGTTATTTCATCTCCTCGGCCTATCACCACCTAATCAAAGACCACCACCAGTAATCCTTCCTTACCTCCTTTGTCCATCTGGCTTCCACGCTCCCCTTTGTGCTTGCAATCACAACTAGTGTACTTCAACCTACTTACAATCAATTGTATAAACTCAACTCTAATCACAATCAATCACTGTGTACATGAACCTCCTCTGCTGAAAAACCCTTATCAAATATCCAATGTGCATCAACCTTGTTAATTGTATATACTCACTATGCAGCAATGTAAATATTCTCCTTGTTTCAAATTGTTATATCACTTGCTTGATAACGGTGTTAGTACCTACACCGAAACGTCGCACTCATTGCAATAAAGAAGTTGACTATCCAACGAATTTAATTCATGACGTTGTACATCATTTCTTAAAAGGCATTCGTACGTGTACCTGAAAAGGGTGATAGGCGACTTTTCACTGCTGTTTTGAATGATAAGGGCAGACATGTATCGTCTTGAGTGGAATTCAGTTTGCTTCACAAATATGTTGGTATAACGATCTATTTTCAACCTGTCGGATAGGTTAAGTTCACTTCCGGTTGTAATGCATTTGGCTGTTATAAAGAGTATACAATGTAGCTTCAAACCATGAGAACACACTATTATATAGTTTATCTTTGATTTGATGATCTGATGCGCTGAACTTGATTTTTAAATATGGAACGAACTTTATTGCAGTGAGTATTTGAGGGGTTCGAACCACTGATCTTTCGTTCTCGAAACCGATTCTCTATCCTCTACACCATGGATATTATGACCAACGAGGCACTCCGGTACTGGACACCGGCACCAGATAATGTAATGAGAATACACACATCGGCATGATGCATATATACTGAGAATAAACATCAAAACAATGCAGATTAAATTTTAAAGACGACAGCTCTTGGGTTATGTTTGTGAATGGTGTTTGGGGGCTCTACCGGTACAGAAAACCTGTGTTTGGAAACGTGATGTCATCACCCAAGTGGTCAAAATGGTTATATCCGAGCTACAGTGTGCTGACAACCATTATTCCATCTGTGCTCTCAGAAGACCATGGTACATTTTAAAAGCCCTGAAATCAATCAGATATTCCTTCACAAGTACATTTAAGGTACTCTAATCGGAAGATATATAACAATACACATCGATCTCCCGTGCTGTGTCAAGTGCTGCCTATACCAGCAGATGTTGACGTTGTTATTGAACAGCCTCCACTTCCGGGCCATTAACTCCATGCATATATCGATGTTGATTAATGTGGAGTGCCTGGTAATTAGTTCACGGCGCTGACATATAGTGTACTGGAACAACCCTGTTTGTCATCCATTAACCACCACCTAGGTAATCACGAAAGGATTTCAGATATCGATAATATTTGGCTTGTATTATCAAATAACATGTTTGTCTCTCGAGTGACTTGACAACATTGCTATTTTCACGTGCCAGAGCCTCAAGTGCATACGTCATCGAAATGGTATAAACGTGATATATTTTCTCACAGTTCCCACGTGTAAAATAAATCAGTCAGGCAGATTGAAAGTAGTTCCGGCAACAGTTCACTCGGCGTGATAATGTTATATACATATTTTTTCAGATAAATATTGTATTTAGTCACAAAATACATAATAACGTAATAACTCCCCGAGGATCGTCATACACGCCACTAATCCATGTCAAGTCGTAAATACTATTATACAGTTGTCATTGTTTCCCCCATGATCTATACGTTTCTTGCAATTGGTATGCCTTGCGTGCGAAATAAGTTGAACTCGAAGCGCTCGTTAAATCGTCAGCATCACTTTCATCATCAGCTTGAATTTTGTCATGTTTGTCTTCAGTGGGTCAACTTATAGGCTGTTTGTCTTCTGTGGAATTAAGAAATACAGTTCGCTCTACCAACGTTATAATAGTTCAGGGCGAAAGTGTTCTTTATTACACTATACATGGTGATAGAGCGAACTGTATTTCTTTTCTAAGATGCCAAATTAAATACTTTCCAAGGAGAATTACGATTAATTAAGGCAGAAAACAAACGACGGTGTCGGTGACCTAAATTAAGAATCCTCGCACAGGGCTGACTGGCGCGCTGTTCTATTGATGTGTCTGCCCCCCTACGTTAAGACGAATGTTACCAGAAAAAAAACAAATGATGACAGTTTGATGACGGTTTACGTTCGGATTAAATATCTTCTCTGAATTATTTTAATTACATCTGTGATTAACGTAAACCATATGGGGCAATATGAACGTCGCATTTCTCCTACCAACGTAAGTTTAGATCAGTACATCCAGATGAAGCTGTGTAGTCAAGCGACATTCCACGATTGCATTGTGAGAATGTAAACATTGCGAAAGTTACCGTGTCGGTGAAAACTTGTTAG